AGCTTTTTACATATTTGATTAGGGTGCTAAGACTTAAGGGCTAGAGGAAAGTGGGTGTTACCACTGTTCTGACATTCTCTTTTTTCCTTACTGTATGTGGCAGGAGGGGAGAGAAGCGGAGAAGCCACATTCAGCCTCCCAACCATCCCAGGGTCCCTGATGTGGGGCATGCTCCAAGGGCCCCGCTAAGATGCAATGTTTTTAAAGGGTCACAGGTGATTACATCCATACATCTGGGACTCACTGATAAACACGGCCTATTGTACCCTTTGAAAAAAGTGGCTAACGGGATGAGTTTGTCCAAACATGGTGAGAAGCGCTAGCCCATTCCCTAGGAAGAGTCCTCTGACTGCTCTGTCATGCTTCGGCAGCACCTTGCAAACATCCACATAGCCACTGTCTACGCACTGCAATTTATTTCCAGGGCAATCTCTCTGAGTAGACCTGGAATTTCCTTGAGGGCAAAGAATACTGTTCTTGTTGACTTTGGCATGATCAGCACCCAGTGCAGTAATCAGCTAAATAAACTATCATGTAGCCATTCCTCTTCCTCATTGCAGTTCAAGACACTGAGCTGACATGTACAAATGTAACATTCCCACCCACCCCCTGCCAGTCCTGGGAGCTCTGGGCTCCTTGTTTATCCCTCTTTGAGGGCATATGTATGTCTCTTCTGATGGTGAGAATAAGTAAGGATACAACTTCACTACTACCACCATACCTCATGCCTTAGCCCTTCACCTTCTGTGCTGGACCTTCCGAAGGGTCCAGGCTTTTCTCCTAGGCTCTTTGGAGAAATCTTTCCTCAGGCCTATCGGTGACATTTGTTATTCTAGCTCCTCACAAACAAGCCTAATTCTCCCATGCAGAATTTCTTTTACTTGCCACTCCCAATCACAGACTCCTATTCCTCAAGACAGCAAATTATGGTTTCTCCTCTTGAACTAACTTCTGTATCACCAAGTCAAGCACAGGCATCCAAATAACGGCTCCCATGTCCCACATATTTTTCCACTTACATTTATCTCTCGTACAGAGTAAGTTTCCTAGAACACTGCTTTTACCTCGACATTTCCCTTCTAAGGCCAATTAATGATGTTAAGGATTATGATAATGGCAGCAGCAGGAGCCACGCCAACCTCTACTGCACTCAGCCCTTTGTTACCATCTTACTCTCCAACAGACCCACGGTGAACATCCTCCCGCCTGTTTTGCAGACAACCAAGCAAAAGCCAGACACACCACAGGGTCGTCAACCCGACCCCTGCGAAGGCATCCGCGGGGTGTGCAAGGCCAGCTGTGCATGTTCCCCTGGGGAAAAGGCCCATAGCTTTTATTGGTGTACCATGAGAAATACCTCAAATTCGTTTATTAACAGCTTCTACAACGACTAAAGATTTCCAATTAAATCTTAAGAAAATGCTCGAACCTCCTGTTCTGGATCTGCCGACAACAAGCCCTCACTTTCCATCCCTCGGCCACATTCATCCTCAGTCTGTCACACACACACCTCCCTCACTCACACTTCTCTCTCACACACACACTTCTCTCTCACACACCAGTCACACGCACACACATCTCTCACACCACTCCCTCACACACACTTCTCTCTCAAACACACCTCTCCCACACACATTCTCCCTCACACACACCTGTCACACACCTCTCCCTCCACACACATCTGACACACAAACCTCTCCTTCACACACACAACTGTCACACACCTCTCCCTCACACACTCGTCTCTCTCACATACACCTGTCACACATCTCTCTCTCTCTCACACTCACACACACACACACACACGCCCGCTCCCTGGGTCTCCGCCACAGCCTCCCTCCCGCTGACAGCCCCGCGTTCCCCAGACGCTCAGCCCCACGCCGCCCCCCTCGCCTCCTCCCGCGCTCCGCCTCACCCGATGCTGGTACAAACAGACGTTCCCGAAGCCGCCGGTGCCTAGCCGCTCCCGCATCTCCCAGGGCCCGCCCGCGCCCGGCCGCAGCCCCGGAGGCCGCTCCATGGGGCGGGAGGGCGAGCGGCCTCAGGCTCCGCCGCTGCTCCCAGGCCGGTTCCGGGCCGCCGAGCCTGGCGCGTCTTGCTTCTCGCGAGATGGAAGCGTCACTTCCGGTACCTGCCGCAGGGCAGGCTCCTTCCGAGTTGGGCCCGGCGCTCCGGAGCCTAGCCGGCCGCCAGTTAGGGCGAAGAGGGCGCTCTCGGTCCCCGTAAGTGTGCTCGCCGGGCATGGTGTTTTTCTACTCTAGAAAAAATCGGTGTCTCTCCAAATCCTACATTCTCGTCAGTGCACTCCCTAATCCTGTTTGTCTTGTTTGAATTTTACATGGTCTCCAGTCCGTGCTCACTTTTAAAAAATTTTTTTTAATGGAAAGTGGATATAGATCTTCTGTCCATTGATTCATCCCCAAAGTGGCTGCAATGGCCGGAGCTGCGGGGATCCAAAGCCAGAAGCCGCTTCCTGGTCTCCCACACGGGTGCAGGGTCCCAAGGCTTTGGACGTCCCAGACTGCTTTCCCAGACCACAAGCAGGGGGCTGGATGGGAAGCGGTGGGGGGCCTGGGATTAAAACCAACATTCATATGGGATCCTGACGCGTGTAAGGCAAGAGCGTTAGCCACTAGGCTACTGTGCCTGTGAATTCAAATTCTAAAGACATATGTGAAGTGCAATTTCCAGTACTGAGCATTACATATTACAAACCCAGACAAGGTTGTAGTAGCTTGTTATGGGAGGTGCTGGTTACCATCACCCATACTTGACTCCAGAGCTGGAACATGAGAATTGGAGGTGACTGGACATTGGAAGGGTGACATTATCCTCAGATCAGTGAAATCAGCAGCATTTCAGAACTATCCAAACCACCTGGACAGAACCCTCGGTATATGTACACATTGAGACTCTGGGTTGATATGAGGTGAGGGTTCCTCATCCCTGGTACTGGGATGTGTGCAAAGTGGTGAGTGGTTTCCCTCTTGTCACGCCCCTTCCCTCAGAAACAAGAAGGAACAGCAAATTTGGAAGCGATGAATACACCAATTTTCCCTAAACTCCAGTCCTTCCCACCCTGATCCACCATGTAATCATCACAAAAAATAAAATTTATTTAAGAGTTAGAAGTGATGTCAAACAGTACCTCAGGGAACTTGTCCCAGAGTAGGACAGATGGCACAAAGGTTTACAGTGCCACTTGGTTAATTTAGGCCTCTCCTTCGTATGTACAACAGGGCTAGGTACTAGTTCCAGTTTCCACAGGTGCCCTTGATCTAATTCACACTGGAAATAGCAATGGAGGCAGCCAGAGGACCAAGGACACTGCTAACTGCTGATCTTGGAGTGGCCATTTTGTGGATAGTTCACTTTAAAACACTCCCATTCTCAGGATACTATATACTTAAAAAAGCAAGCCAAGCCAGTTGACCTCAGGTTCTATAATCTTCAGATTTTTTCCTATTTAAATGGAGACACAGTAATACTATGTGAAGACTTCATAAAGATGAAGTGAAAGTGTCTAGTGTCCAAAACATGCAGGAACAATTTTTTTTAACAATTATTTTTCTCCTGTGATCTCTCTACCTCTTCATGTACTTTACTGGATCACTATTTCCAACCACTTTTTAAAATTTATTTTTTTTATTGCAAAGTCAGATATATAGAGAGGAAGAGAGACACAGAGGAAGATCTGTCCATTGATTGATTCACTCCCCAAAGGCCTTAACAGTTGGAGCTGAGCCACTCCAAAGCCAGGACCCCGGAGCCTCTTCCGGTTCTCCCATGCGGGTGCAGGGTCCCAAGGCTTTGGGCCGTCCTCGACTGCTTTCCCAGGCCACAGGCAGGGAGCTGGATGGGAAGCTGGATGGGGAGCTGGATGGGGGCTGCCAGAATTAGAACTGGCACCCATATGAGATCTTGGCATGTTCAAGTTGAAGATTTTAGCTGCTAGCCTACCACGCTGGGTCCCCAAGCACTTCTAAAATACTGACATTCCTCAAGTGGTCTTTTAGTTCTTATATCATCCATCCTCATTTTATCTATAGCCTAGACTGTTATAATCTTCAAACCCTACTAACTCGTATCTTTTAAGTTTAGAGTTACCCAACAGCACAGGAACACACAATTCGCCTTCTTAAAAAAAAAAAAAAATATTTATTTATTGGGGCTGGCACTGTGGTATTGCTGGTTAAGCCACTGCCACAGTGCCAGTACCCTAAGTGTCCCAAGTCAAGTTCCAGCTGCTCCAATTCCAATCCAGCTCCCTGCTAATGTGTCTAGAAAGACAGCAAATGGTGTCCAAGCACATGCACCCATGTGTGAAACCTAGAAGAAGTACTGGCTCCTAGCTTTGTGCTGGCCATTGCAGCCTTATGGAGAGTGAACCAGCAGATAAAAGATTTTTCTGTCTCTTCTCTCTGTGTAACTGTAATTTTCAAATAAATAAATCTAATGAGATAAAGAATGAATATGAATATTCTATCTGCTGGTTCATTTCCCAAATGGCCACAATGGCAGTGGCTGGGCCAGGCCTAAGTCAAGAGTCTGGAACTTCCTCCAGACCTCACTGATGGGTGCAGGAGCCCAAGCACTTAGGCAAACTTCTGCTGCTTTCCCAGGTACATTATTAGCAGGGAGCTGGATTGGAAGTGGAGCAGCTACAACTCGAACCAGCATTTATATTTTTTCTTCTTAAATTTGTCCCTTCTTGTCCCAATTAGATCATTAACCCAGGGACAACAGGAACCATGGTGGGACATGGCTATATTCTTGGGCTAGAGAAAAATGCTGGCTCATAGGAATTAGCTCTCTGAGGAACTGAACAGATTCTTAGATATAAATACATGTTGAATGCTGTAAGAGAAAAATACAGTGAGTTCAGAGGACCCCCCTTGCTGAACTTGCTCAGCAGCTAGTTCTATAGCACTGGCCACTCTTAGGATATACACTACCTCATTTCAGTGATCACAGGCAGCATGAACATAAAATACTTCTCCATCTTGGAAAAACAGATTTTATTTGATAGCTCAGACTTTTTTTTTTTTCTTTAAAAATGCAAACACAAACTGTTCTTAAGAGCTGGATGACAGACATGTTTTCAGCATAGTATTTAATCCTAAAATGACTTCTCCTCAAAAATATGCAGTCCTAAGCCTCTTGCTTCAGGCAGCTTCCATGGGAATGCACAAAAAAGAGGCAGGGAAACAGTCCCCATGGGAGACTGAGTTTCTTTAAAAACAAGCTGCAGTTACTTCCTGTGAAGTTCATGAAGTGTTCTTGCCTTTGCTTAGTCATCCAGTGTAAAGTCAAAGGGCTCAAAGTCTTTCCGGAAGCGGCGGGCCAGTGTCTCCTCCTCTTCCTTGCTGATCTGACACTGCCTCCAGTCAGACTTCTCTGGAATATTAAGGATGGCTTCACTAGCCAGTACCTCCCTACAGACAGAACACAAAGAAGTCAAATGGACAATATCAGTCTGAAACTCCTTCCTCCCTCTATTCCTCTCTAACCAAAGTATGCAAATTTCTGACTACTCATAGTGTTTCCTGCTCTGAGTAATCTCTCTGCCATCCCAGGTATCAAAATCACACCCATTTCAAGCGATCAACTCACAGCAGCTAAGACACAGGTTGAGATGTCTGCCTAAGTTCAAGCCCTGGATCTGTTCCTGATTCCAACCTCCTGCCACTGTGCAGCCTGGGAGGCAGGAAGACAGTCCAAGTCCTTAGGTCCCTGCTACGCACAAGGAGGCCTGTGAGTTCCAAGCCTCCTTCAATCTGCTCTAGTACAGGCTATTGTGGGCACTGGGCAATGATCACACAGATCTCCGTCCTTTCTAATAAATTGAAAATAATTAAAAATGTAAATGATCAACAAGTCCTACCTTGTTTCTTACCCCTTAAACTTATTCAAATGTAAAATGAATATAAAACCACTTTTTTTAAACAGCTGCAAAAAAAATGCTATTTAATTTCATTAACTATAAAATACTATTAGGGCTGGGGCAGTGGCCTAGTGGTTAAAGTGCTCGCCTTGAAGGTGCCGAATCCCATAGGGCCGGTTCTAATCCCAACAGCCCTGATTCCCATCTAGCTCCCTGCTTGTGGCCTGGGAAAGCAGTCCAGGACAGCCCAAAGCCTTGGGACCCTGCACCCGCGTGGGAGACCTGGAAGTACTCCTGGCTGCTGGCTTCGGATTGGCACAGCACTGGCCGTTGTGGTCACTTGGGGAATGAATCAATGGATGGAAGATTTTCCTCTCTGTCTCTCCTTCTCTCTATATATAAATATCTGACTTTGCAATAACAATGAATAAATCTTTTTTAAAAATTATAAAATACTATTAATAACAAATAAGAATTTTCTAAAAACCCAATACTGAAAGTACAACTACTATGAACAAAAAATTCTCCAGATGCTCTCGCTGGTGTGGGCTTTATAGTTAGTACGTCTATATGCATCTACAGTCATGTTCTTAGTCCTGGCTGTGCTTATCTGCACGTGATGCTAACGCAACAACAAAAACATTAAGTCAATGTTTAAAGCTCTTACCATAACTACTGTTATATATCAATTAGCTCTTTAAAAATATAGACAAACATAATTATGGACTGATCCAATAGGGCAATCTCTTGGAGGCTTTTCCAAATTAGATCAGGAAAAGGTCAAGACTCACCCACAGCTCAGCTCTAACCATGGGGAATAAAACAGTGGCAAATCAGAGACATCATCAGATAATCCATTCTGTACATTTCCGATTTCCTTCCATACTCTATTTTTGCCTGCCAGGAACTTTCTGTTTTCAACGTTTGCCTAACCTTTCCCTACTTCTGTAATTTTTTCCTATTCTGTTTTACTTGCTTTGAGGCCTTCTGGCCTTTACCACACTGCAGAATAATGAAGGCCTCACAGGGAGAAGCTACACAGCCCTTTGTAAAGTGGCCAAATAATACCCACAGCCAGATGTGGCTATTCAAATGTTAAATTAAAATTAAAAAAGGTTAAAAGTCCAGTTGCTCTGTTGTATTCATGTTTTCAAGTGTCCAACAGCCACATGTACCTAGTAACTATACTACTGAACAGTGTAGATTTATAGAACATTGCATTGTGTGGAAAGTTCTTTTAAGCACTGATCCAGAGCCTAGTTTCCCATATTAGTAAACTGGGATGACATTATCTACTTTACAAAGCTCTGAAAATAAATAAGGCAACGCAAATAAAGGCCTTGGCACAATGCCTGTCACTGAGAACATGCTTGATGGTAACAATTCATTCTAGCTAGAATCCCTTCACCCCAACCTTTGCCCTCTAAATCTGGCACTCAGGGTTAACTTCTGCCTGACAAAGAGGCTTTCACCAAGCAGAAATGTATTGCCTCTTCTCTGAGTTTCTGAAAGACATTTTTTTCCCCCAAAATTCTATTGTGGTAAGTATACATCATACTGTGCATTACATAACTCCATAGAGGTAAAGATCTGACTTGCCCCAATGTTATATGAGCTTCTGGGGACAAAGACTGTTTCCCATTTAACTTTTCATTAATTGTCCATATAACCTCCAACTTTGTCTACATTCAGCCTATTGAAAATATATTGAAGAAAGAAAATATACAAACCTTCCAAATTGCAAAGGAAAATTCTTCTTAATTCTGTGGAAAAGCTTCTCTCCTGTGTCAAGTTCAACATAAAAATATGCTGCTCCTGGCTGTGCAATCTAGATTAAACAGTATAACATAAGGACACATGGTAGTTTTTGAAAATCTAAAGTCCCACCTTATCCCCTGTAAGATCTACGATGGCAAAGAATTCAACTGAGACACTCAATAAAAGGGATGTGTAAGCAGCTAGAGGCCCCAAGGCATTTTTAGGAGCCCAACTGGCAAATGCTACCTGTAGCATTCAGGGCATGCTCTCTTTTTAAATCCCCACCTCAAGAAGCTTCTAATTTCTTGCTCTTCCCAGGAAACAATTAAGACTTTGCTATAATACCATCTTCACTGCCAGTGTAATAAATAACCTTTCTTCTAGTTCCCAAATGTCCCCCACCTGCTGAGCATTTATGGAATGCCTCAGTCCTCAATGCAGTGCATCAGACTTGCGATCTTCACTCCTCCCTGGACAGCCCTGCCGGCCCTCCCCTCCCCATTACCTGCTTGATGTCAGAGTGCTCAGGGATTTCCAGCAGTTCTATCTGCTGCTCCTGGGCCTGGGTCATGAAGGCATCTTTAATGTCATCAGTGGCACAGCAGCTGAGTGGCACCGGAATGACCTGGGGGGTGGGGGTCGAGGGGAGAGAAGCTGAGAGAGTCTTGGCATCGGTGCCCGAGGGGGTGGCCTGCACGGCCTCTGAGAGGCAGCAAATCCATCATGGGGGTGGAGCTGCACCCCTCAGCACAGACTCTCCTCAGGCAGACAGGCACCCCAGCCTGTCTGTAAGGACTTAAACTCATGAGCTAGCCTGCCACATGTGGGAGCAAAGCTCTGGTGCAGGAAGGGCTCAGAAGAGATGTCTTTGTCATCGAGCCTTTGCCAGCTCCCTTACAATGTATGTGGTGGAGTCAGGCCCATTTGAAAACTTGACAAATGTGCCAGAGAGAAAACCACCACAAATGCAAGCCCTGTGACTACAATCTCTGAATTTGTGAGCAGTTAGCCCAAGGCAGGCTCTGTGCCTGCTTTCCAACTGTAAGCCTTCACTTGTACTGGGCCTCCACATAAAAATCCCACTCTTCCTGTAAATCTCTGAAATTATCACCAGATACTCTACCCATTTAAATAAGCATCAGTTAAATATGAAAATGCATATTAAATACTTCATATATTAAATATGCTGGGCCCAGCATGATGACTCAACTAGCTAAATTCTCCCCTTGCAAGCACAAGGATCCCATATGGGTGAAGGTTTGTGTCCCAGCTGCTCCACTTCCCATCCAGCACCTTGACTGTGGCCTGGAAAAACAATGGCCCAAAGCCTTCAGACTCTGCATCCACATGTGAGACCTGGAAGAAGCTCCAAGCTCCTGGCTTCAGATTGGCTAGATTCTGGCTGTTATGGTATTTGTGGAGCATATCAGCAATGGAAGATCTCTTTCTCTCTTTCTGTAAATATGTATCTCAGATAAAAATAAACAAATCTTTTAAAATAAATATTCACAATATTAAATTAGGTGTTAAGGCATTATTTGGATATTTATTTATCAATAACAAATCTCCCACAGCACTCTTTCAAGTTTCTGTGCAGGGACCACCAACCTGTAATTGGAGATGATGGCTCTTATAATTTCTCTCAAAGAGAACACACCGTTTTCCTCGACTCTTAAAGAACCGTCTCAGTGTAGCCTTATACTTCTCCACTTCTTCCACCACTTCGGCTGAAAGCTCCACCACTGACTGGTAATGTCCAATGGGCAGGATTAGGACATGGTCATCAGCTAAGCCTCCTTTGGCCAGGGCTAGGTAACACTGGAGAGGAAGAACACAGAATTAAGACAGCAGCGGTGCACGACTGGGTCTTCATGGAGAAAGCCCCAAGAAGCATCAATGAGAATTTTCCATCCTTTGCTCAAAGAAGCAAAGAGAATAAAATAGTAGTTACTAGAGCCTGGAAAAGCTGTGAGACACAGAGATAGGACAGTTAGTGGGCACAGGGGTACTGCTGGACAGGAGCAAAGACTTCTGATGTTCTACAGCACAGGAGGGTAAGTTTGGTTGACAAGGATTAACTGAATATTTCAAATAGCTAGTAGAGAGGAGTTTTCAATTCCTAACATGAAGAAATGGTATCTCTAAGGTGATAGATATGCCAATTACCCTGCTCTGATCATTACATGTTAAAAATACTGCATTGAAATGTCACTGTGGTCCATAAATACTCACAAATACTATGTAGCAAAAAAGAAATGTTAAATAAAGCTAAGGCAACAATGTTCTTGACTATCTGCTGAAGAATGAGAATAGACATAACACATTTCTATGCAAGAATCAAGTGAATTGGAAAATGCCTAGCAGCAGACTTTTGGCTTTAAGCATACCAGATCTGACAGAAATCAGAACAACTGATGGCTTTGCCTTTAGTCTCAACTTGAGAGCAAGTTTTAAGGCTTTGCTGCCTTCATCCAGAGATATGATTTCTGATTTAAAAATGACCACTTTTTGCCTTCTCACTAACATCCAATCCTACAGCTCATCCCAAAAGATATCCCTTGGGCTTACAATAAATAAATAAATAAATAAACAAATAAATAATAAATAAATAAATAAAAGACAACATGATTGTTATTATCTAATGTCCCTATAACCTTGGGCTGATGACTCAACTCTGCAAAATGAAAATATAATGATGACTTAATAGGGTAGAAAGATGGAGAAATTTTGAACTCATTGGAGAACTATGCCTCTCAACAATGGACATCAGCCTTGAAGAGCAATGAAAACACATTGCTGTCAAAACCAAATTCAATTTAAGGGCCCGGTGCGGTGGCGCAGTGGTTAAAGGTCCTCGTCTTGCACACCCGGGATCCCATATGGGCGCCAGTTCTATCCCGGCAGCCCCGCTTCCCTTCCAGCTCCCTGCCTGTGGCCTGGGAAAGCAGTTGAGAACGGCCCAAGGCTTTGGGACCCTGCACCCGTGTGGGAGACCCAGAAGAGGCTCCTGGCTTTGGATCGGCATAGCATTGGCCGTTGTGCTCACTTGGGGAGTGAATCATCGGATGGAAGATCTTCCTCTCTGTCTCTTCTCTGTATATCCGCCTTTCCAATAAAAAAATAATAAAAATAAATCTTAAAAAAAAAAAACAAATTTGCAGGATTGCTGCAGCACTGAGACACTCTTTAAAGAAAGATGACACCACCATCAACATCACCATGAGTGAGCAGAGAAGAGGCCAGCAAGCATCAAGGCGAGCAAATACAGGTGCTACAGTTTTAGGAAATACATCATCTACATAGTCGTTCACTGTGTTTTTTTGGGGGGTAGGGAGGGGCAGCAGTGTTCAGAATTAGGGCTGAAGGAAAGAATCATTTATTTCACATCTACAAAATCTAGCAGAATGACAAGATGTCTACTGGGAACAAACTAAGGCATGAGCATTCTTAATTCATTTTGCCAACAGGACTAATAACTTCTGGAAAGTTAATTTCCCAGATGACTCAAGTAATAAAAAAGCAATCAAGAAGAATGCTGCCAGGAGGGGATCTCTCAAACTTCTTGCCAGATACTCAAAATTCACCACAAATTCCCAAGAGGATTTTCTCAAACAGAAGTTCAGTGCAGGTAAACAAAAACTTGATTAGCAGAAAGTGCTAGACTGAAAACTCCCATAGCTTCCTGATGGGGTGCTTGGCTGGGCCCCCAAAAAGACTTTGCCCCTCTAACTTCAAGCCTATGTGAGAAGCAAAAACGTTTCCTTAGATCATACCCAGAGCTAGATACACAAGAAAATGTCATCTCTCCTTGAGCCTTGGAGAAGTATTTACCTAGGTCATCTACTCCATATCTCTTTTCTCCTGCATGGGATCTTAAGCCCATTGAAATTTCCAAGCAGAATTTAATCTAAAGCATGCCTCACCATACAAATCATGAATGAGAGAAGAATGTTAGTAACTAACCCAAGAAAAAAGATTCATGAAAAAATTATCCAAAAAGGGCATTCAGAAAAAGGAGATGATAGTGCAAGCACTGTATTCCCTGACACCCACATGGGAGACCGGATATCGAATTCAGGCTCCTGGCTTTCCCTGGTCCAGCTCCGGCTGTTGAGGGCATTTGGGAAATGAACCGGCAGATGGAAGATCAATATCAATCTCTCACTTTTTCTACTGATCTCTATCTCTATCTCTCTCCTCTGCCACTCTGCCTTTAGAACAACTTAAAAAAAAAAAGATTTCTTTATTTTTATTGGAGTTGGATTCAGATTCATAGACAACAGGAGAGACAGAAAAATCTTCCACCCACTGGTTCACTCCCTAAGTGGCCACAACTGCTAGAGTTGAATCAATCTGATGCCAGGAGCTTGTTTTGGGTCTCCCCCATGGGTGCAGGGTCCCAAGGCCTTGGACTGTTCTCCTCTGCTTTCCCAGGGCACAAGCAGGGAGCTGAATGGAAAGTGGAGCAGCCAGGACACAAACGTGCCCACATAAGATCCTGGCACATGTAGCCACTAGACTACTGCTTGGGCCCCTAAAGAAAAATTTTAACCCAAGTTGAAACACATTCAAAGGAAAAACCATCTGGGAAAAAATTGAACTGCAGTGACTTTCTAGTGAGAAATACCAAGTTCATCCAAACTTTGCATAGCTGGAATAAACTCATACTCTAGAGTATTGAATTCCTACAGTCTGATTCAGTGCATACCAACCAAGCAACCTTATCTTTGTTATCTAGAGTTCCTGGCTACTCACAGCAGGAAGGTGCAGAAAGGTATCCCTGACACTAGGAAGTGATATTCTTTACTACTGGGCAACAGAGAATTTATCACAGCAGTCTTTGACATGATCAGTTGTCAGAATACATCCAACAGGGTAGCTGGGACAGCAGGGGCCTGTGGGATCCTGTTGAGAAGAGGCTCCAGGAAAGAGGAGGTGCAGGGCCTCTCATCCAAAGTGCACTCTAGCCCCCAGTAAATCCTTGGATGTGCTTTCCTGCTTCCCTGATACATGGTGAACATCTGTGCTTAGTTAGCCAGTTATCCTAGATCAAAGTAGTACTCTATCAATAGCTCACACCAATGGTGCTTTGATCCTGGTGCCTTGTTAGTTCTCCTGGAACTCCCTGTTTACACACATGTGATAGGAGTTGTATATCAAACCTGATCATTATAACTGATATCTGAGCTGAACTGTGTTCAAAGTATTGCTTTGCTGAATGTATATAAACTAGAACCCTGGAAATAAACTTGGTCAGTTGCTTAAGTGACTAACAGTCCCCCCATTTCTTCAGGTCACATCTCCTCCCCAGGAACCCGCAAGGTAAACTTGCTATCAGTTAGAGTGAATAGCTGTGTGCTAAAAATTCTTGATAAAAACTAGAATGCAAGTTCAAGTTTCTGAATCTGAAGCTATACAAAGAATATCAACATTTTAAACCTAATGTAGGATTATAAGCAACAGAGGACTTCTTTTCAAGTCAAAGAAAACCTAGGTTTTAAATATGAATACAAAGGCAACTCATGACTGCCAAACAGGTACAGAGTAAAATAGAGTGTTCTGGGGCTAGCATTGTGGTATGGTGGGAATAGCCATGGCCTATAATTCCAGTATCCCATATGTTCACTGGTTTGAGACCCAGATTCTCTTCTTTCAAATCAGCTCCCTGTTAATGGCGTGCAAAAGCAGGAGAAATGGTCCACATGTTTGGGATGCTGCCATCCACATGGGAGACTGGCTTACTGCAGCCACCTGGTGAATGAACCACCCTACAGAAAAAAGCCTTATGGGGGCCCAGCGTGGTGGCGCAGTGGTTAAGGTCCTCGCCTTGCACCCCTGGGATCCCATATGGGCGCCGGTTCTAATCCTGGTGGCTCCTCTTCCCATCCAGCTCCCTGCCTGTGGCCTGGGAAAGCAGTCGAGAATGGCCCAAAGCTTTGGGACCCTGCACCCATGTGGGAGACCCAGAAGAGGCTCCTGGCTTTGGATCAGCATAGCATCGACCATTGCGCTCACTTCGGGAATGAATCATCGGACGGAAGATCTTCCTCTCTGTCTCTCCTCTCTGTATATCCGCCTTTCCAATAAAAATAAAATTTAAAAAAAAAAGAAAAAAGCTTTCTAATTTTCAAAATAAAAAAATACAAAATCTTTTAAAATAAAAATACAAAGTGCTCAAGATGTACATAAACACATCACCCTAAGAAAGTAATACCTGATTTGTGAGAGAGGGATAAAGAAAGAGAGCAATGCTGTGAAGCTGATGCTACAGAGCCATAAGATGATGCGCACTACAATTAAAAAGATGGGTAATAATAAGTGTCGGTGAGGACGCAGAGAAAAGAACACTTCTCAATCACTGCCCATGGGGATGTAAGATACCACAACCATTCTGGAAAACAGCTTGGCCGTTTTGAAAAAATGTTAAGCAGAATTATAGTACATGATTCAGCAATTCCATGCCTAGGTATTTACAGAAAGGAAAATGCATGCCTCCACAAAAACAAGAATGTACACATTTCAGAGTACCATTACTCCAAATGGAAACAACTCAAATGTCAATCAAATGAAAAACACATAAACAAAACACAGTATGTCTATAAAATGGAATACTTTTTCAGAGTAATAAAGTGAAATATTGATAACATGCTACAACAATGATGAACCACAGATTACTCTAAGTAAAAAAAACTCAAACACAAAAGGCTACATTATTATATACTATTTGTATGAAATGTCCAGAAAACACAAACCCACTGAGACAGTAGATTAGTGGTTGCCTGGGGCTGAAGAGGGAAACATGGATTAACTACAATTGGGCACATTGGATTTATTAGTAATGGAAACGTTCTAAGCTAGGTATTTAATGCTTGCATGACTCACTAAGCTTACTGAAAATCCTTGAACTGTACACTTCAAATGTGTAAATTTTACAATCCAGTAAAGTTAACAAAAACAAGTTAAATGAGTCCTCTATAAGAGATTTACAAAATAACTCACATGTGTGCCAATGTTGACCACCAAATGCTTTTCCACTTCAGGGCTTGCAAGGCAAAACCAGCAGGGCCCTGGAGGCTGAGCTGCATGGGGAAGAAAGTCAAGAATTACTTCGATCCAAGCACTACAGCATACAGTCACCCTATAGAACACAGCTTCGCCTGATCTTTGAATCCTGGGAACACTGGGACACAGCACTGCCACAACAGGCTGGACTTATACTCTCCACTCTCACTCCACCATCACCATTTCTAATGAAACCCAATCTCTATCAGAAAAAACAGCTGAATTTATAATAAATCCACAGGTAGTGGATAATCACATAGTGACTAAAATAGCACATTCCAAATTATAGGCTAGCATGAAAGAACACTACCCAGCAGCTGGTCACCCCACATCTCAGCATCTTTATCTTAGAAACAAGGAGCTGGCCAGGAGCTAGCACTTGTGGTATACCAGGCTAAGCCTCAGGGTACAGAACCAGCATCCCATATGCACAACAGTTTGTGTCCCAGCTGCTCCACTTTGCATCTAGCTCGCTGCTGGGAAAGGCAGCAGAAAATGGCTCAAGTCTTTGGACCCCTGCAGCCATGTGGGAGACCTAAGAGAAGCTCCTGGCTTTGGACTGCCTAGATCCAACCATTGCGGCCATTTGGGAAGTGAACCAGGGAATGGAGGACCTCTTTGTCTCTCCTTTTTGTAACACTTTGCCTTTGAAATAAAAATAAAAAAAATCTTTGGTCCTGGCATATTAGCCTAGTGGCTAAATCCTTGCCTTGAAATCATCAGGATCCCATATGGCTGCCGGTTCTAATCCTGACTGCTCCACTTCCACCCAGCTCCGTTTGTGGCCTGCGAAAGCAGTCAAGGACGGCCCAAAGTCTTTGGAACCTGCACCTGTGTGAGAGACCTGGAAGAAGCTCCTGACTTCTGGCTTCGGATTGGCTCAGCTCTGGCCATTATAACCACTTGGGGAGTGAACCAGCAGATGGAAGGTCTTTCTCTGTCTCTCCTTCTCTCTGTAAATCTGCCTTTCCGATAAAAATAAATCTTTAAAAATAAAAAAAAATTAATAAATCTTAAAAAAAAAAGAAGCAAAGAGGTGAGCAAAGTGGATCTCAATGAAATAACCGCAATGTCCTTCCTCTCAGTTTGATTATTCTATTATTTCATGAACTTACATTGTTTTTCTATTTTCTATGCTTTTTATCTCTACAAAGGAAAGAAAATTTTCCCCAGGGTTCTTAGAGGGAGTCCTCAGCCAGCCTCCAAGTCAGACCATACTTGGGTTATTTTATTTTTACTGTTGTTCCTAATGACTCAATGTATGATTTTCCCCTGCCAGATGAGGTGTTTTTTTTAGCAAGGTCACTTTCCAAAGAAAACCCAAAGCAGTTACTGCTCACAGGAGACCTGCCGCACTGAGGCACTTACGAGGCTTGCGAGGTTGCTTCGCATGAGGAGATTTGCTGTCTCTGCCTGTGGATGAGCGCTTCCTTCCCTGCTTCTCATTCAAATCAAAGAAAAACTGACAGGCTGGTTCTTCCTGGAACAGCAACAGGCAGAAGGAGAAATGTTATTCAGGCAACCTATCCACGAGCTACACACATCATACTATCCTTTTTCTCAGTCCTTTCTGTGGACTCGAGAAAAAAATGTATCTTCCCAACTGATTCCAAGCCTCTCCATATCCCAACACTTACCCTAATACAAATCAATCCCTCAAGTGAAAATGCAAGTTATAAAGCAATTTTTGCTTGAAACAAAATAATATGAACCTACCTAAACTCCTTTTCCTTTCTCTCTCAAAGGAGACATGCTGTAACACTACAATTTCACAGGGTGAAATGAGTTCAATTCAACTTTAATCAAAGAGATGAGAAGGTTGCACATTAAGAGCCCAAGAAAGTAGGCCATGCATATTGACAAGAGAATTTGACATTCCTTGCTTTCTTGTGGGGAAGATAAAACTTCAGAAAAGTCTGTTATTAAGAAAAGTTCATCAGAATCAATTTTATTTATATATAAGCTGTCACTATAAATCACAAATAACACTGCTATCAAGCTGGATCCTTGCTGAAGAGCTAAGAATAGTTAAATTCTTACAAAGTGGCATAACACATAAAACTGGTTAACCCCAAACTACAATTAAACAAAAACAAAACCATCACTACTATGACTTTCTAAAGGCTTAAGCATGAACCTTATCATTTACTCTGAGTCACTACGCGATCACTAGGAAAAGTACACCTGCAATGGGCATTCCTGCCCGTTGCCAGCCACTAACGAGAACATACCTCAGGGGCAGGGATTTGCTTTCCTACGGACACCTCCTTTCCTGATTGTCTGTAAGGGTTTTCAGTGACATCCGGAGGTTGCTTTACCAGTTCTGTGGCATCCATTAGTTTCATGGGAACAATACTGAATGCATAAAGATACTTTGAAGAAAAATAACATAAGGTGAGGGTTAATACCATTTATCTGAATGCGATTAATCTGTTCTGTGTAACTTTCACAGAAAGCATCAGAACTGAGTGAAAGGAACTGAGTAAAACCCAAAGCACAGCAAGCAGCCCACCTGTGGCTCAGAAAACACACAGCATATCAAGTCCCAATTCAGTGTCTTCTGCAGGTGCTAACCGAGGGCTGATGGAACGATGGCAAAGACTCAGTTCCAGGGTCCTCCGTTGCGAAGGGGAGAACAAGCAAGCGCCACTACAAGGTGCAGTGGCACTTGCTCCGAACTCTTGAAGACATCTGCTTCTGTCTCTGAATCCTTTATTTTTGTGTTCTTTGTTAACAGAATCACAACCCTGTCATACTTTTTTCCTAATGAGAACTGCAATTAGATAACTTAAGGTTTCTCTGATATGATAGATTCTGCTATATATGATGATTAAAAATTTCTTGAAAACTAGTAGCAAAGAATTAGATATTTATACAAATATCTAGAGAGTTAGAGAAATGGCACAGTTATCGGAAATTTCAGATATGAATAGACGCTTGACCTCACTACTTGTCAGAGCAACATGACAATATTACATCTTGTTTCACCTGTCAGACTAGCAAAAATCCTCAAAAAATCTGACACTAATCAGTGAAAATACGGGGGAAAAGCCTCACACTGCTGGTAATTATACAGATTGAAGCAAAATTCTGAGGTGGCTACAAAAATGTTTGCCAAAAAGCAAAAATAAAACAAAAGTACATATCCTCTGAGTATGAGTTGCTTGAGGCTAACATTTTTCTGAGAATTAAGCAATAGATGGAAAACACTGCAAGTGCTACTCAATTTGATTGACAATTTAAAAATCACAAATCTAAAACCTGCTAAGAAATAACTGGGCATAAAAGTTTAAAAATAAAAAAAAAATTAAACACTTGCTTACCTCTTATATACATCATCTATGATATGTTATAGTGGAATAATACTTAAATTATTTAGGAAAATTTTTTGCCTCTTTCCCTACTTGACTGACTGCTCTGATTTTAACTGCTTCGATCCACAACAGGATATTTCTGGCCCTTAGATTTTAACAATATTCTCAACAAAGTGAGAGAAACAACTTATTTTTTCTGGTATATTCCCTTTCATCATTTGTATTGTTTTCCAGTATGAAGAGTCTAGATATCAATACATTTCCCAAACCCAAAGAAGACTTAAGCAGTTCACTAAGAGGACTTTCCCATTTACGCTAATTGAAACTGCCAAAAGAAGCAGGCAAGGAGCACCATCTAAGGGCAAACTCACAAATACCTGCAGAGAAAACATGAACACGGTAGGAAAGGGAAAACTGTTCATCAGTCCTTTGCATTCACTGCTCTGTGTCTGTTTTCCAAAGGACCCTAGGACCTGACCCTTCTTTACAGTATCTGTGCTGGGACCATGCAGTTGCAGGGAAGATGTGACTGCTTAACTGGGCCACAGAAACTTCTACCAAGCAAGCAATGAATATTAACCTATCACCCAATACTCAGATCTTTACCTTTTTCTTTTCTGGATTTCCAACATTTGCCAGAGCTATGAATCGGGTGGCATGCTGTGCACTTTCTTGTAGAACAACATGATTTCTGGAACATATTTGAAAATAACAGATTATAAACACTTCACTTTTAATTTGCAGTCATGATGCATGTAGATGCCACAGGACCATGAGCAGGAAAGAGTCCATCACAAGCACACTTCACATCTCCACACCCAGCCGGGACCCTTCATCCATGTGTAGGACCTGGAAAAAGCTCCTGGCTCTTGACTTTGGATTGGCTCAGATACAGCCATTGTGACCATTTGGGGAGTGAACTGCAGAAAGAGGATCTTTTTCCCTCCTCTCTGTAAATCTACCCTACTAATGAAAATAAATAAATCTTAAAAAAAAAAGTTAACATTTCTCATCAGGAGTGGGAAACAAAATAATGCTCCCCCAAAGATGACCATGTTAAAATTCCCATTATTATGGTATGCCAAACTGCCCTAGGTTCCAGCACCTGCTGGTGTTTACAAGAGACAGAATGAGTATAAATTAGGCTGCAGAAGATCACGCACGCAGCAGGTCACGAGAGCCAGAAGAGATGCAGGCCAGTCAAGGTAGGCTGTAGCATCTTCCAGTGAGTGCCAGGACTAGGGAAAGCCATGTCAGGCTGGGCTGCAGCACCTGCTGATCAATGTGTGGGCTGGGTCTTGGGGTGGACCAGACCAGGCCAGTCCATAGCACATACTGGCAAGAGCAGGTCAGGGTGCAGGTCAGGCTGGGCTGGACCGCAACACCCACCAGTGGACATAAGGGGTGAGGCTAGAAATGGGCCAGGCTCGGATAGGCTGCTGTACCCACTGGTAACAGGTGGAACTGGGTGTGGGCCAGGCATGAGCTAGACCGTAGCACCTGTTGGCAAATGTCCAGACTGGGAGCAAGCCATCTCAGAATGGACTGAATCACTCACTGGTACATGCAAGATCTGAGGTTGGGAGCAGGCTTGGTAGGAGAATCTTAGGGAATCCCTTGCTGGGTTGTTGTGTCCAGTGATGAGTATGACAGCTGGGACTAGGGTGAGCCAATCTGGAAAGGGCTGCAGCACCTATTGGCTGGCGTTTGAACTGGGTCTGGCTGTAAACCAGGATGGTCTAGGCTGCCGCATCCACTGGCACTAGAGAGCCAGAACGGGTGCAGGGCAACTGGGCTAGGCCACAGCACCAGCTGGCAAGTGCTGGAACTGGGTGCAAGTTATGTCAGACTGGACCTCAGTACTGTCTGGGGCCGGGAGCAAGCCTGGTAAGATAACTGGGTATTCCCCTGGCTGGGTTGCAGCTTGCACTGATGAGCATGAAAGCCAGGCTTGGGGCAAGTAACTAGGTTTAAACCTTTGAAGGAATTATAAACAGCTTTCTAAAGTGGCTGCACCATTTTATACACTAGCAATTTACATCACAGTTTACGTTATCAAAGTGGCTAATGATAAGAGCACCTTTTAATGTGTCTAATGGCAGTTTATATACATTCGATGAAGAACTGGATACTAACATCCTTAACAGTTGTACAGGCTTTGAATGGCTCATTTCCCTACCCTCCTGATTTCAGCTGGCTTTTAGAGAACAAGAAATGTACATATATGGAGACTTAATGAAAAAAACAGTATCACCCTATGATTATATACTAAATCCAAGATAATGAGACAGAGGCAGGTTATTTATAATTTTGCTCACTTTTATTTCTTAAACTGTGAAAGAGTATATATGTATTAACATTCTATAAAAACAAAAAGGAAATGTCTAATCAACTAGGAATTTTCTAGATCAGTGAAGATAATTCAGAAACGGCTTTATTTAACTCCACCATTTATAAAACAGTGGTTTTATTTTCTGCGAAGTATTTCCTTTAAAAAAATTTACCTCCAAACTCCAACCAGAAAAAGAAAAAAGAAAAAAGCTGATACAAGTTCTTGATTTCTGTTGTGAAATACTGATTTCTCTGAATTTTTAAGAGCATATCAAGGTGTCCAGCATGATGGCTCAATTGGTTAATCCTCCCTTGCAAGATCCCATTATGGGTACTGGTTCCTACCCTGGCTACTCCACTTCCTTTCCAGTTCCCTGTTAATGGCCTGGGAAAGCAGCAGAGGATGATCCAAGTACTTGGGAACCTGAATCCACATGGGAGACCTGGAAGAAGCTCCTGCTTCCTAATTAGTTCAGCTGCAGCCACTGCAGCTGTTTAGGGAGTGAACCAGCAGATGCGAGATCTTTCTTTCTGTCTGTTTGTCTCTGTAAAACTGCCTTTCTAATAAAAATAAATCTTTAAAAAAGTAATAATAATAATAATGAAGAACACACCAAGAAACTTGGATTAATCTAATCAAATGGGGTGGATGTGCTTCAAAGAGTGGTAGTGATTAAACAATATTGTCACCTCAGGCCCCCAAAACTTTAAAGGCCCTTCTAATTCAATCTTTTGTATTTCAATTTAGGGAACAAACTCAGAGGAGCTCAATGACTTAACAGGTTTCCTTTCAGCTTCTGTGTAAGATCAAGTTAATCTATGGCTGAAAATGAACAACAGTAGTTGACACATATGATCCAAGACAAATTTTTCAAAATGCAAAAAGAAAAAAGAAGAAATTCTACTCACCGATAGGGAAGCCTCTCATAGTATGTCTTTTCCAAAGCAGCAAAATGGTATCTTGGTTTCAAGTCTGTGGCAAGGCTGGAGATCAAAGCAGAACCACATTTTTTGGTATCCACTTCTCCCTAGTAAACAGAAACTTGGTCATCTACATACTTATAACAGTTACCAAGAAATGCAAAGAAATAAGAAATTTAAATATAGATACAAATAGGGGCAGAATGAACTGTACAATGACTTGCAAATGTATGACAACCAGACAAAAATAAAAAATATAAGGGAATTAAACTACAACAAATGCAGGAATAGAAACAGTTGCTGCAAACCAGAAATAAAACACTAAGGTGACCGCTCCGCACAATTCCCCAAAGATTGTTACATCCATTTTGGGAATTTAAGCTCTCTCCTGAGAACCAACAAACCATATTTCTAGACTGTGCTTTGTAGTGTACCTATAGTAATGACAGAGTAAGCTGTCAATCTCATTGCAGGAAAGTACTACTTTGTGTCCCAGCAGCCCCGCTTCCCATGCAGCTCCCTGCTTGTGGCGTGGGAAAGCAGTCGAGGACGGCCCAAAGCCTTGGGACCCTGCACCTGTGTGGGAGACCTGGAAGAAGCTTCAGGGTCCTGGCTTTAAATAAGCACAGCTCTGGCTGTTGCAGTCACTTGGAGAGTGAATCAAAGGATGGAAGCTCTTCCTTTGTGACTCTGCTCCTCTCTGTATATCTGACTTCCCAATAAAAATAAATAAATCTTTGGAGGGAAAAAAAAAAAAAAACAGAAAAAGAAACTCTTGTTTCCTGGCTTTGGATTCACTCAACTCCAACCATTGTGCCTATCTGGGGAGTGAAAAGGCAGATTGAAGATCTTTCTGTCACTCCACTCTGTAGATCTGCCTTTCCAGTAAATGTAAAAATAACACTAAAATATAAATAAATACAAAACTGAACACCTGGCACAATGGCTCAACAGCTAAATCCTTGCATTGTATATACTTGGATCCAATATGGGTGCTGGTTTGTGTTCCAGCTGTTCCCTGCTTGTGGCCTGAGACAGCAGCAGAGGATAGCCCAAAGCCTTGGGACCCTGCACCAGCATGGGAGACCTGGGGGAAGTTCCTGGCTTCTGATTGGTTCAGCTCTGGTCACTGCAGCCATTTGGAGAATGAACCAGAGGATAGAGGATCCTTCTGTGTTTCTACTTCTTTCTGTAAATCGGCCTTTCCAATAAAAATAAACAGATCTTTTTAAAAATATCCTTTCTTAGCTTACGCTAAGCTAAACAGGCATCACTTCTCACCCTGTGCTACAGATGCTCCCACCATCACTCCAGCAGCCCCTCTATGGATCTCTGTAGCCTTGCCATGTCTTTGGTGTTTCAACCAGCACTGTCTCTTATATTCTTGGTGAAGAATAATCATAGGTCTGTGGAGGAAGAGAGAACTGTCCCCTCTTCTTTCAACATCTTCCCCTTACACTCCTGGTTCCTTGTCAATCCTGGTCACAGAGACACAGTACTGAAGTCGGCAAGGAGGGGCCTGTGAGACACTCTGGATCACTGATAATTCTGATCTGTGCCTGGAGATTTGGCCTCAGAAGCATTCCTCCATTTCTCTCCACTGAGCTCAGCTGGTATCTCGGCCTCACACAGTCTTTTCAATATCTGCCTTGGTTTGTTTCCAACCATACAGATTTTCCTCCCCATGATAGCTGTTCTTACTAGTACGTACCTATGTATACACATATACGATATATATGGATACGGTATACACATCATCTGTGAGATCATTTGCAATATTCAGATTCAACACAATGAGGAACTCCTATGCATCTTGACAGTAAAATAATCCTATTAGAGGAGTATCAAATTTTCAATACTCTGCTTCCCATCTTTAGATGATTAGACACAACCTTATGATGGTTCAATTTTTAAAAACACTTTGACAGCCAAAAATCAATACTCTGGAATGAAATGAGTGGAGTATATCCACAGAGCAGCCACTAGTTCACAAATTCACTAAAGATTACAGAACCTTTGGGGACCAGGGTTTTGGCACAGCAAGGAAAGCTGCTGCCTGTGACGCTGGCATCCAGCATCCTATGACTGCCTGTTCAAGACCTAGCTGCTCCATCTGCGATCAAATTTCCCGGCTAACACACCTGGAAAAGCCGGGAAAGATGGCCTAAGTAGTTTGGCTTCTGCTACCCACAGATCCAGGCTCCAGGCTGCAGCCTGACCCAGGTCTTGGTCATTTTGCAGCCATTTGAGGAATGAACCAGGGGTTGAAAGATCTTTCTCCATCCACCTTTCAAATAAATAAAATAAATCTTTTTTCAAAAAAATTACTGAACCCTCAAGACATACTAAGAAGAGATCTGGGAAAGAGTACTTGAAGTAGAAAACAAAAGGATTCATCTAAATAATTAAGGTTCCAGCAATCTCTTTGGTGAATTACACTTGTATGAGGTCAATGCTTTAGTCAGTTTTACAGCTTATCGAATCCTAAAAACTTTTATGAGAGATTTCCAGTGAAAGATACAAAGTACTAAAATATTCAACAAAAAGAGGAAAAACAAAAGAACATAAACAAATAAAGCCCTGCTTAAGCTAGTGTAATTTGTTTATAGAAATTCCAACTGAACAAGCATTACTCACAGAAGGATTCCCAAAGTTTCCCACATACTTGGGCCATGGGGACGTGAGCAAGATATCAACACCCTTAAAATGGGATGTAGAACACAGCACTGTTCTCAGGGAAGACACATCCTTGGGGCTGAAACTGTAACCGGGGACCGGCTCAGTGAGTGACTCTGTCCCACTGAGGTACGCAATCTGCAGCCCCGAGCTTCCAACAAAGACACCTTTACGACCTGGGTTCAAAGAAAAACAGACAAGTTTTAATCAAAATTTTCAAGGAAATGCCTTCAACATGAATTCCTCCCCCTGCAGTGGCCCTGCAGCTGTCTGCAGGGGGCGCCCTCGTGAGTCTTACTCCGCATTGGCCTCAGCTGCCCAGGAGGAGGTCCCTCCTGAGGCCTACTCCGCCTGGCTGCTGGTCATTGAGCTCAGACAGCTGTGCTAAATTTCTCATTCCAGCCATGAAATGAGGCTGCTGGAGTCCACAAGCCAGCATGTTAATACTGAGTGCCTCACAAACACGACTGAGAAAGTTAGTAAATGGTAATTAAGAAAATGGTTTTCTGCCTTGGAGAGAAGATGCTAAATGGACTAAAGAAAACCTATGAACAACTATACCTAGGAAGAGGCAATGAAGAGACAAAATAACTACAATTCTGAGGGTGCTAAGAGTTAAGAAAAGTACTTTTCAGGCAAACAGCAACTTCCAAGAAGAAGAAAACACTTGGAAAGAGCAAATGTTTGGGGAAAATCAGAGATTCTTCGAAAGTTTCTCCCAGCTTGTGGCCTGGACTCCTTCCTTCTCACCTCCAACACCTCAGTCCATCAACTTTCACCTCCCTTTCTTCTGCTGAGTCCCTGCTTAGCTGGCTTTCTCTGTTCAGAAAAACAGAATATGCTCAAGACTTCCCATCCAGGACAAACACACAAACTAATTAGGAAACTTCCTCCTCTTCTTTCCAGGTTCTAGGGAATGCTCCACGCTCTCCAAGAGCTTTACTTCTGAGTGCCCTAGCACTCTGCAGTCCAACTCCCCTCTCCCACCTCTCCTAAAGGTTGCTGACCTGGAACACTTACACTTTTCATCTGATGGAAATAACTCCCTAAAGCCTTTACTGACCCTGTTTACAGTATCTAGAATGATTTATCACTTCCACCTTCACTGCATACTTTACCAACATGTTAAGCTTGCCACTGCATTTTCACTATCAAGTTCATTCCTTGCTCCTAAAGGAGCTAAAAAGAAAAAAACTACTTCCCAAAGATAAACTAAGTACTTTAGTCCCTTTTTCCACTACTGATACTAAGATCAGTAGCGCTCTAAATGCTAATCTAAAAACTACCCTGAGAATTACCACAAGTCAGGCCCACATTATGATCTATAATAAAAGAATTTGAAAACATACAGCTCACAACAACCAGAGGTCAAAAACACACAGAATCCTTCACCCCCTATGTTTGGAGCAAGGTGATGCTGCTTACACAGGCAGAACAGATACAGCTGGATGTGGAGACCAAAGGACAAGCAGGCCTATGCTGGGGAGCAGACAGGAGGACAATTACAGCAGAGAAGATGTAGAAGCTTTCCAGAGAAATCAGATAACCATGAACAAAAGTGACTAACCATGGAATCATTTTAGAAAACGAGATGAATGATTCTGGAGACTGACAGCACACAAAATCATTCAGTGCTCTGAAAAATGGCCAAAAAATGGCCAGACACAGAAGAATCACTAAAAGAAGGACAAGGGGTTGTGGAGGAAACAACTTTAACTTGGAATTGAAAAGTTGACTTGGAACCAGAAAAAATTTAAAAAGGAATTAAAAAAAAAAAAAACCTAAGAATCAGCACTTAAAATTTTGAATTATCAAAACCTTAGGGTGAAGCCTGAGTTATAGCTAGTCAGGAATCAAAGCTGGCTACATATCCAGCAAGGTGATATGGTCAGGCCACACACATGGAGCTTCCTTTATTTGAATGCACTTTAATATACCTTACATTCTCCCCACACTGTAGACTGTGTCTTTCTCTGGTTGTAGGAAACAAAGAGACTGGGAGAAAACAGTGGCGCCAACAAAGTGAAAAACCCCATGGTCCTGAGGCACAGCCAGGGACTTTCAGAAGGGATCCCAGAACCCTCATTCTCTTAAGTGGTTATAGCAGAAAAAATAATTCAGGCAAATCTTTCTAGGGAGCCTAATTCTTAGGGAAACTTTGTTATGTTCATTATAACCAAAAAATATCAACTTACCCAGGTAAGTAATGTTTTCAGCCAATTCACAACCATTAGCATCTTGGAAATATTGTACTGTTTCCTGGTTATTGGCACCGAGCACATATGTCTGAATGGGAGCTAGTGAGGAAAAGAGATGTGACATCAGTTACCAGATTGACTTCCAAGTTTGAGAAATGCTTTCCTACAGGGAAACACAGCAAAGGTAAAGTGACTGTGCACACCCCCTGTAGCAATCCTAAGGGAGGAGCCAGCTGAGCACTAACGGCATCCCACACCTAACCTCGTCACTTCACTATAAAACATGTCAGAAGGCACATGAAGTGACACAGAATCTAAAGAGCTTAACGATAATAGTAAAAACACTAAGTCAGAAAAAGGAAAAGACATACTGCATTTATTCACTTTCTGAGAAACCAGAATAGTTTTTCTGAAACTAACTTGAAGCAGTTCAAACATGTAAACATGTAGCTTATGCTCATCCTTTCGAGCTAATGCAGAGCTTAAGAGAAATCTAAAAATAACAAATACGTAAAAAAGAAAAACAGCAAGAACGGCAACCCTTAAAATTTGGTTAGAAATCATAAGTTAAATAGGAATAATTACCTTTCTTGATGCCAGTCTTATACTCCTCCCACTCAGCGTCTGGGGAAGTGCCAAAGAAATTTCCTACACACAACAGCAGCTAAAATGAGTTTTTTAAACAGATATAAGAGATGTGAAAATATAAAACAGTACAAAATTGACAGTTACATTCAACAAAATATCCTACATAATGTTTTCTAATCAGGCTTTTAATCAATTTGCAGAATTTCAGCATATCATTTTCAGCAGCAGCTGTAATAGTTATTGATTCTATGAATTATTAAATTTTCTCTCACTGCCTGCTAACTTCAAGTTGGGGGCAGGGAAGCAGAAGTTAAGGAACTGAATTTTCAATAGAAATCAGAGAATTCCGTGCCCGTCAAGTCTTAGCTCCAGTCTTCCCCTGCATGGTTCGCTCTCTACCTCCTCCTTCCTTGGAGTACACAGCGATGGAGGCACAGAACTTTAAACAATCCCTCTGCGCAATCCAGAACTTGGAAGATGAATACACTGAGCTTCAGGACACCAGACACCTGTGTGCTGCCTAGGGATGGTGCTCGCCTCTGCCCCAACGAGCGAGTCAGCCTCCTCTCCAGCAGGCTCTGCAGATGCTGGGAGCTTACAGCTGAGCAGACAGCCATGCTGAGCGTTGCTGAGGGCTCTTCAGTTGGTCAAACACTTGCACGCTCATGAAACAGGCCTGCACTCAGCCAACCAAAAGTATAGTATATATGTTAAGAAATGACAAAGGGGATCAAACTTTATTGTGTATGTCTGACTACAATGGTAAAAGGAAATTCAGTTAAAATAAAACAAAAGGCTTACATCAAAGTCTCCGCTCTTCTTCTGAATTACTCGAACTCTATTGAATAAAACATCAAACTTGCCATCGACGTCGCCACAAGCCAAGCTGCAAACCAGAGATGAAGGTTACAGCAATTTAAAAGGGGCCTGCCAGGTTTGGGAAGAACGAATCTTCAGCAAGTGGCAGACCTGTGATCCTACCTCCAGTTACCTTGTGGAGTTAAGTACCTGTTAGCAGAGCCAAACTCCACCAGGCAGCTCCCACCAAACCTCCAAACTGACACATGTAAAATTTAGTATGTCACTTCCTCCACAACGGAGCCACCTCTCCTCATTCCTGCTGTGCAGACAGGTCTTTCACCAAATTGGTCACCAACAGGCAAAACTCCACCGTCCAGTCACCAAGTTCCATAAATCCCATCTTCCAAATGTCTGTCCCCTTGAGTCTGCCACTATCCCTATCTCAGTATACGTCGTCAGTGGTTCACGTCTTAAACTTGTACTTACTCCACCTGCTAGCTGCTGTTTCACTTACAGAAGGAGTGATGCTCCTGCACAACAAGCAGGGATACGCAGAAATATCAACAAGGACAACACTAATGGAGATGGGGAGAAATTCCAAGTGTGAACACAGACTGGAAGGAGGAAGTAGGAAGGGAAATGAGAAGGCTGAAGGACACATGTGAGGGAGAGTCGTGCGGCAGAGAAACACAAAGTGGAGACCATGCCTGTGCTTCCTCTAAGGCCGCTACGCCATCCCACATAGAGACTGTTTAGCTCTTCTCAAAAACACAAGATGTCCCACTGTTTTCCACAGGCCCTGTCTCCGCACGGTGCTTTCTCCGGACGGGAGACCCTCCCCTAGCATCACTTTGACTGCTGCTGGTTTGATGGCTAGGGACCGTTAAGCATTCAGTCCTCTTCCGAGCTCCCTGTCTTCTAGCAGAGCTTTCTGGTTCCTACCAGGTACCAACTCCCAGCGCCCCCACAGGATCCGGCACCCCTCTCCTCGTCACACCCAATGATCGCTGTTTCTGAAAGAGACCCACTGTCTGCTCTACACAGTAGGGCGACTCTCAATTCAGCCTTTCCTCAAACAGCTCTGCCTATCTCCCTGAGGACAGAGATCTCAGCATAACTGGACGGTGTCCACTCCTGTCCAGTTCACCTCCTTAACACACCTGGAGTCCTTGACCCTTCCTCCCCCATCACTCCACTAACTCCAGCTGTCCTCTCCTTTTACGGTTCTGGTTTATCTGTTTAAATAACTGCAGTCTGACCTACGACGGCGGTCCTACACATTTCAATCTTTTTGGGGGGTAAAGGCAAACCTATTTATCAAGGGCTCAATTTTTCCCCCTGGAGTGCAGCCCTCATTCCTCCCAATAAGTACTCCTGTTATCCACCGCCCGCCACCCAATAGCGAGCGGCTCCCCTCACACTGATGACTGTCACAATACTGTACATCTGCCTCCCCCTTCCTCTCAAATGAAGTCCTTTTTCCTCCCCACACCTTCTGGCCGCCCCCGAAATACTGCGCCCCGCGAGGGCCACTGCCCAAAGCCCTCGATCGGCCCGATACCGAGCAGTACTTGATTACTAAACAGGTGCACGGGGAGAGGGGAAAACGAAGAGGGGCATGTTATGGCAGAGATGGAAAAGGCCTGGCGCCCGCAACATCTAACTCTCCCAGTGAGTCGCCAAGGGAGTCCCCGAAAGAGGCGCGACCTGCCCCAGCCAGGACCGGACCCGTCTCAGCTGGCCCGCGACCCCCGACTCGGCCACCTTCCGTCCAGTCAGGATAGGATCACCGCCCCCGTCCACACCGCACCCCAGCAACCACACGAACTCCCGTACTCACATACGCAAAGGCCTCTGAGCCATCGGGCCTGAAACTCTGGGTGGGAAAGAAGCCCCGAAAAGCAGGAAGCACGGACCGCGCTCCACGAAGAGAACGTGCCCCTAGCTCGGGAAGACGTCGGAAAGCCTCGGCCAATGAGCGCTCGGCTATCTACGGGGAGCGCCGAGGGACAACAACCCTTTCCCTTGTGGTTTCGCTTCCATGGAGCCTGCAAGAGCAGCAGGTTGAAGACTGGAGAACGACTGAAGGAATTAGCGTTCTAGTGCTTTCTTTTGTCCTGTTTTTCGTATGTTGAGTTTTTTCCCTTCCAGAATGGAAGTTAGTGATCTGCTAGTATGTTACAACGCAATGTTAACCCCTAAATAACTGTCCTGCCCTAGCCTTATCAGTGTAGTGGGCAAGACAGAACACAATCCCCCCCTCCCCCGCCCGCCGCGCATTTCTTGCAAGTTTTTAACCTGTCAAAATTTACGAGAATACTGACCATACTTCCACTGTGTGTTAGAATGTAACCAAATCTAGTTCCAGCACTATCTGCCAACACTATCTTCTTTCGGAGTACCTAAGCAATTTTTATTTGAAAACAAAGTATTTGAAAAACTGTAGAATCTGAATGTAAACTGGAGAGAATTGGCCATACCTCAGCCTGCATCTCCTAATAAGGATATTCTTTTCTATATCCATACTGCCACTAGGAAAATTAACATTAATTCAGTAATACCCCATATACATCTATATTTTAAGTTTTGCTTTTGTCCCCTCAATCTGATTATATGCCTCAACCTATACTTACATGAATATTGGTATTTGTTTTCTTTGACAATCCATTTGAGTTTCATCCTGGCATTTAGTTCTATCTCTATTCTCTTGATCCATGAAGGTCCACCTAACTTTTGAGCCTTTATTCCCCCGTAACATTGACTTTTCTGAGAAGTTCCAGTTGGTTGATGGGAGAAAGCAGTGTGTAAGAAAATGGAAACCAAAGGGAGAGACCGTGACAACCAAAGCTCAGGGAAGACGCTAATTAATTAATTAATTAATTAATTGATTAATTAATTTATAGTAGATAGGTAGAGTTGGAGATAAGGGCAGAGAGAAAGATCTTTCATTTGCTGGTTCACTCCCCAGGTGGCTGCAATGGCCAGAGCAGAACTGATCCAAAGCCAGGAGCTTCTTCTGGGTCTCCCATGTGCGTACAGGGTCCCAAGGCTTTGGGCCATCCAAGACTGCTTTCCCAGGCCACAAGCAGGCAGCTGGATGGAAGTAGAACAGCTGGGACATGAACCAGCACCTATATGGGATCCTAGCGCATCCAAGGCAGAGATTTAGCCACTGAGCCATTGCATCAGGCACAAGACTCAAAATCTAACTCAAAATTCAATAAACCTAAGTTTAAGGAAAGAAAAAACCCACAAAATTCTAGTTTTCCTCTCTTTTTTGTTATGCATTTTTAAGAAACAGTTGCTTGTCTCATAAAGATTGATGTCTTTGCATTACTGGACACACTAAGATAGTTTTTTTCCCCCTATTTTTGGGCTAATATTACACTTCCCAAATGTTGGAGATGAAACTTAGCAAGCATGGACAAATAATAATTCCTAGAATAAACAAGAGCATGATTGGACAACCTACCCAGGGGATTCTGTATTATCTTTGCCACTCTCCTATAAATTTGTGCTAAAATAAAGTGTGTTACAAGAAAACTCAAGAATTTAAGCAGCTGAACAGTGTGTGTATAGGAATAACAGGAAATGACATCCATTGCAGCCCTTTGGGGAGTGAATCAGCAGATGAAAGCAAATGCTTCTCGTCTCTATAAATCTACCTTTCCAGTAAAAATCAGACTTCCCATTAAAAATATTTTTTGAGTCCTCATACACAAGTGTGTGCCTTTTTCATAACAAAAGCCCATGAGCAGTTACTACAGGATTCTTAGAAGGAGTGTTGTGTCCAGTTTGTTCCTTAAAGATTGGCACTGGTGGCAGTGGGTTGGAGGGACAGCAGACCCCACAGCAGAGCATAAGATAGATTAGATAGCAGTGTGGAACTGAAATGGTGTACAAGGACAAAAACAGAACTAAGAACCATTAGGAAAAGCGGTGGGGACGCGTGACACCTTCCCAACGACACCCTGCTCCAGTGAGGCTGCCTGGCTTCCACACTGACATGGTGCATCTGTACCCCATCCTCGGATGTCTTTAATGTGGATGAAAACAGGAAGGTTCCCCCACCACGCTCCATCAGGCCTGCATATATGGGAAGACATCTGACAATATGCTTCCTTTCATGGGTGCAGCTCCCACTCCCCCACCCACTACCACACATGCGCATATAATCTCTTCTCTGTTTTTCACATTTCCAAAAGGGAGCATGTGTCAAGATGTGATTCCTCCCCAGATGTTCAACTCACGCAGGATAAAGGGGCAGGAGCTCTCAGAAGGGCCCTTTTACTGTGTGCACATTCTAGATGAAACTCGGTGTGGAATCATTTGAAGATTTCCTAGTCTTTGCAATGTTAGAGAAAACTGAATAAATAAGGCAAGGTATAAACTGCAGAGAACGAGTTTGTTCTGTTTTCCTTTTTTTTTTTTAATATAGACTCTTGTTAACAATACGTTAGCATTACTAACAGAAAGAAATAACCATTTACACAGTAACTCAACAATCAGCCATTTAAGATTAAGCTATTACTCAACCACAACCAGAGAAAACACTGATTCCATTAGCAAGCCCAGGCTCATCCTGGACTTAGAGAGTGTCTCAGTCCTGCATGGATGACAGAGCATTCGTGTCAAAGGCAAGAGCTGGGAGGGCCTCCAGGGAGGCTCGGCAGGAAGGTGCAGTCCTCCGGCTCGTTCTAGCACTGAGAGTTCCCAGGACCCGACAGCCTGGCTTCCTTATGGAGGAGACTGAACAATTCATTAGCCTCAGCATTCAGGTCTCATCCAGCATTCTTCCACATTTAAAAGAAAAAAAAAAAAAAGACTGCTGCATAAGAAGTTGATCATCATCGTTTCTCCAGCTTCTTGTACTTGGCTTCTGTGAGCACAGGGTTGTGAATGGTTAAAAATGACTCTCCACAGACACCAGCTGAATTTAAACATCTCCATTCCATTGTGCAAAAACAATCTACTGCCTTCAATCTCATCACTGATCTATACAACTTTTGAAAAAAGGGTTCAAACTCACAGACACCCAAAATGAAGAAACCCTGCCAACGTGAGTTCATGGAGTTCAGGTCCTGTTTGCAGCCCTGCTGAGGCATCTCCAGCAGGCCTGAGCGGGTCTGGCGCCACCTGCTGGCACCTGCTGAGCAGGGCTGTTGACGGGACCGGAACTCCACCAGGAGCCTCACAAAGCAGGGGACTCCCCTCCTGGCACGGTCTCAGGGACCCCATGGACATCCACTGGAGCCCTCAGGAAGTTTCAGTGTACAATTCTTCATCTATCTATTTATCCTTACTGCTCACTCCAGGAGGGCACTTTGGAGAGAGATTTTAAAAGCCATCAAAGAAGCCATTTACTATGACAGAACTCCTGCCTTCTCTTTGGTAACCATTTACTAAATTGTAGCCCATGCAACTGGCCATTAAGTATCACCTGCAGCAAATCTCAGCCTGCTATAAACTATTCTGTTGTAGGAGTCAACTATTATTAATGATGACAATAAAATAAAACAAATAAAATCTGCTAATGTTATCTAGGATAAAAAAACAAATTCATCGTTTGTAACCATAGATGTAAGAGCCGCACTTTAAGTTATCAACACTAAACATACCAGTGCAGATGGTAGCTTTACTTGTTCCGCCACAGGCCAGCCTCAGCATGTGATTTTTATTTCAGTTCTTTAGAGAAAAAAGCATGATGCCACAGGTTTATAACTTGCTTAAGGATGCAAATGCTGAGGCTGGCCTGTGGCAGAACAAGTAAAGCTACCATCTGCACTGACAGTATCCTTATATGGGTGCAGGTTCAAGTCTTGGCTGTTTCACTTCTGGTCCAGCTCCCTGCTAATACTTAAGGGAAAAGCAATGGACATGGTTGGGCCCCTGCAACCACATGGGAGACCCAGAAGAAGCACCTGGCTCCTGGCTTCCATTTAGCCCAGCTTTCACTTGAGGAATGAAGCAGCAGATGGAAGATCTTTGTCTCTCTCTCTCGTGCCTTTCAAATAAATAATTCCTTTTTAAAAATCTTGAAAAAAAAATTAAAAACTACCTTGCAGATTATTAGAAGAATGAAAAACATGATAAAGTACAAAAACACAGTCCCTGATATGTCACTAACAACTCAAGAAATGTGACTTGTATCAATACTCACTAGGTTTTGGTGAGGATGAATGGCACTGTGTATAAACCAGCAATGTTAACTATTCCGTTAGTTACAAACACAGTGGCAAGAGGTACTGTTCACTGAATCAACAGAAACAAAAGTAGTTACCCAGTTTTTTGGAATATGCATCCAACCTATATGCCGCCTGCTCCAGAGCTGCTACCTGTTCCTCGATCACATTGATCTGATCCAGGTAAGGCTGTAGTCCAGCATCTTTAAAAAGAAAACAAACCACAGGTTCATACGACTCCTACAACAAGTGTAGAAACAAGAGTGGGAAAGTGGGAATACTAGTGTGTCCCCAGCTCTGCCTCAGACACGTCAGGTCAGGGTGACAGGATGCTGACTACAGACACTCAGAAGCCAGTATAATCACAACCTCAACAACGTAAATCTCTTTCAACTATGAATTTCCTTTCTTTTTATACCTTACTTCCCAAGCAATCTTCCCATCCTACTTCCAATCCAGCTCCCCCCAGTCTCTTGATATCCCCATATAAACAGAGTGCCCTACAAATAAGCAACACATTTAAGCCAACAGAAAAATACATGCAGCCACTCTAAACTGGCATTTTCCATTGGGATGTTGTCTGGTTCTTTATATGGAGTATGGATTTCACAGTTTAACCAAGTCACTAGAGGTGCCACCCTTCCTCTGTCCCTTCCCTTTCCAGAAACCAACTGAAAAAAATCAAGATTTGGATGCACAAGTAGCAGTACTACTAAAGCATGCTAATCCTTAGAACGGAAAAAATAACATGAGGTCCTACAGGAAAGAATGTCACAGCTCTTCCCCTTCTCCATGGCCCCAAACAAAAAGAACAGTAAATACAAATGTTTCACTATAAAAATGACTACTTACACTTCTGGTTTAAGTCCTTTAGGTTTCTACTAATGTTTATAGCAATATCTTTCATCTCAAGATATTTCAAACTGGTTAATTTATTCATATTCTCCAGGAGCTTGTAGTCTTCACTGGTAGCTTTAAAATAAAGAGAGGAAGTCATGTGTTTAAGATCAATCTTAGATCACCTGTAAGTGGAATGGCAGACCACGACGTGATTCAAGGAAGGACTAGGAAACGTAAAAGCAGCCACCACATCAACTATGACATTTGTACTTCACCTGCATACTCAGAATGTCTAAGTAGAAACTCGGGCAAGAATTAGCAAAGTGCGGGCCTGGCGTCCTGGCTTGCTTGTGTCACCTAACTAATTCCATATTTCTCCCTTTCCACACCATCCCCAAGGAAGAACTTCTTGATCAACCATGACCAGACACTAGGTTTGTTCTTTCTTATCCTCTCTGTACATCACAGAGGCCCGCAGAGTTGTATTACCTGCCTATTCTTCAGTGTTTCTGAAAGTGGTTCATGATGTTCTCCAGGGAAGAGCTGGTCTGCTTTCGCTCCCACCATGATATCCCCACACTTCCCCCAGGCCTTTCTGGGTAAGCAGGGGAAGGAAGGTGGCTGCAGGCTGCCGCGGCAGATGCCTTCCAGACCCCCTGGAAACCAAACCCCAGCCGCACACAGCTCTGCCTTTACTAGCCCAGACCACACCTCACCTGTCAACTCCCCAGTCAGGTACGTGGCCATTTTGGAGAACATGTCTCGGCAGAGCTCATTGATGTCAGCCTCTGCGGGCTCCTTGGCTTCCTCAGCTGTCTCCACGACCGCATCGTCTAGGGACAAGGGAGCGGGAGTAAGTGTCCTGCCCCACACCGGTCCCGACCCAGCCGAAGCAGCCAGCCTCCGCCTACCTCCCAACACCTGTGCGACGAAGGCGGCTGCATTCCTCATCTGCCATAACCTCAAGTCCCCGTGCCGGCCCTTGCTCACTGTACACGACCCCCGGGCTGAGCCCACTCAATAGCCCAGACAGTAAACACAGACAGGTGCGCTCCTGCGACCTGCCCCTCCCTGCCAGGTGAGCCAACCACACATCAGCCCCGGCTACTCGGGGCCCTAGCACCCCAATCGTTCCCATTCAGCTCCATCCATTCTGAGCACCTCGAACAGGTTCATCACGTCGGGTCCCCGGGACACCCTCAGCCGCCGCCGCCATGCCCGGCTCCACTGCTTCCGGTTCCGAAGGTCTGCGCATGCGTACAGGCCCCGCCTCGCCGGCCCAGCCCTCTTCTGAGAGCAGCGATCCCACCACTCCTACTCGCGTAATAATCCGTAACCAAGCGTCAAAAGCACAGCTGAAACGGTAGCTAGCAAGGGCTTGCGTGAAAGGGCCTCTTTGCGAGAGCCGCGATGTCTAGGGTTGGGGGATGCGCTCCGGCCTGCAGCCACATCCCCCGCCACCCGGCAGAGTGGAGCCCGCAGCATCCTTCGAACCGAGGTCGCCAGCACCTGCTGTTCCCAGCCCAGACACTGCGCACCCTGGCGGCTGTCAGTCACCAGAAGATGCAAAGGAAACCCATGCGGTGGCAGGTGGCCTCATCCAGGCTTTGGTAGGTCTTCTGGCATGGGTCCCAGATGCTAAAAACTCTTGCCTCCCTCTGTCCAGAATGAACACCAACTCGTAGACCCGTTTCTTTTCTTTTTTTCCTTCCTTCCTTCCTTCCTTCCTTCCTTCCTTCCTTCCTTCCTTCCTTCCTTCCTTCCTTCCTTCCTTCCTTCCTTCCTTCCTTCCTTCCTCTTTCTTTTACAAGATTTGGAAAGCAGAGATGAACAGAAGCATTTTCCATCCACTGGTTCACAATGTTCCCAATACCTGGGCTGGGCCAGCAGAAGCCAGATGTCCCACGTGTGTGCAAGGGCCCAAGCTTTCACAGGCCATTAACGGGACCTAAGGGGTTGGCGGCTGGATCAGAAGTGGAACTGGCAGAACTCACCACAGCCTATAGAGGAAGCAAGGTGTAGCAGGTACCAGCTTTACTAGCTAAGCAAGCTGCAGACTGGCACCTGCCTCTCTGGCTGATTCAGTCTTTCTTGAAGAAAGCTTAAATTGTGGCGTTTTAGGGCTGAGGATACACTCCAATCATAATTGCACTTAGCAGTTCTGCATGTCTCCTAGGGGTATAAAGTACTTCAAAGGCTGGGAGGACTGCAGTAGCTGAAAGGAGCAGTTGAGAAGTGACAGGGGACCAATGTTAGGTGCAAAGTGATGAGACAAAAGGCACAGGAGATGGCAGAGAACAAATGCAGAAGTCTCAGGATGTAGGCTCCTGCACATCCAAAACCTTGGTGTAGGCATTCCTCCTTTTAAGGTTTTTATTGGGCTCAGTGCAGTGCCTTGTGGCTAACATCCTTGGCTTGCATGCTCTGCCGGGATCCCATATGGGTGCCAGTTCATATCTCGGCGACTCCACTTCCACCCAGCTCCCTGCTGGTGGCCTGGGAAAGCAATAGAGGATGGCCCAAAGCCTTCAGACCCTACACCTTAGTGGAAGACCCAGAAGAGGCTCCTGGCTCCTGGCTTCAGCTCAGCTCAGCTCCAGACACTGCAGCCAGTTGGGGAGTGAACCAGCAGACCAGTGGACAGAAGATTTTTCTCTCTGTAAAATCTGACTTTCCAATAAAAATAAATTTAAAAAATTTTAAAGATTTATTTATTTTTACTTGAATGGCAGAGTTACAGAGAGAGGGAGAGACAGAGATCTTCCATCTGTTGGTTCACTTCCCAAGCAGCCACAATGGCTGGAGCCATGAGCTCCAGGTCTCCTGCAGGGACCCAAGGCCTTGAACTATCCTCTGCTGTTTTCCCAGGCCATAAGAAAGGAGTTGGGTCAGAAGTGGAGAGGTTGGGTGATATGGATGCTTGACAGACATTCCAAGAGAGACTAAGTATAGAATCTTCTGTATACGTATATGCAAGAGTCATGGAAGAGCTGGCCCCACAGCCTGATGTTTTTTTGTCCCTCAGACAACTGTCTCCATTCTTCCTTATGGCGCAGGCATAGTGTCCCCCCACGCCAACACTTTGAACCATGCCTCTCAGCCAGTGCTCTTATCTCGGGACTCTGGGTCAGCCAGGCTGCCTCCTGTGATCATTGCCTGCACCTTTTACCATCCAGATGCTTTGAACCCACTCCAACCCAAGCACAGGGCTGTGGGACATCACAGTTCTAACTTCTTTTTTTTCCCTCCTAGCAACAAATGCAAAATCTTAAGTTTTTTAAATATTATTTTATTTTGATAATCTTTAAAATCTTAGGTTTTTAAAGGAGTTTTATTGGTAATCACCAGGGAAAACCACTTTGTCCTATGGAAGAATAGAGCCAGAGTCCACCGCAAATTTATCCAATGCTCTCTGAGTGCCGAGGCCATTTCCTGCCTGGTTCCCTGTAGACTCCTGGTGTGCTTGCTCCCTCAGCCCCCAAGGTTGAGTGGAATGCCATGAGGCTGACTCTCCACAAGGGCCTCGGCGGCTGACTTCGCTCTTCAAGGATGCCACTCACTCCTCTGCAGTGCTGCCATCACCCTGTGAAAGGCTCAAAGCTTCCCCCTTCTCTTTCACAGGGAAATTCTACAGGGGATGATAACAAACCCATGGGTTCTAGCCATGTGTCTAGATGCACAAGGGATCAGTTTCCCCAGCAGTTAAGAAGACATCGAGACATTTGCCTGTGCTCTTGGTGTCTACCTCTTTCACGAAGCACAGCTACGGGGTGCTTGGGGAGAGTTGTTACCCTCCTTTCTGTTATCCTGTTTATTGGTGGTATTTTTGGCCACCACAGTAAAGCTAAGTGCAGAGGGGGTGAGAAGAGTTACTTTACAGAGCTACATGGCTACGCACTGAAAACACTGGTTCACAACACCAGAAGCAGGGTGGGACTTGGAAGTAGCCATGACAGGGCCTGTTGCCTTACAAGAACAGGGTGTACAGAGGAGGCCTCCTAGGAGGCTGAGTAGAGCCTGCTGTCTGATGCTTTAGGGGTTCCCTTCACCACTCTCTGGGACACTCTGGGGTACTGGAGCTACAGCAGGAGCTGAATTCAAGTGTTCCCAAATAGCTTGGTGCTTCTGTTGGAAGAAAAAAAAAAGTGGGGAAAAGTTACTTGAAAGAAAATTCAGCACTTTTTTTTATAGCCCCCCCCCATATGATTCAGAGAACCCCACACTGCTGAGGACTGAATGTTTGTGGTGTCTCTCCCTCAAATCAACTGGCTGAAATGCTAGCCATCAATGTGATGGTTTGAGGAGATGGGGACATTGTAAGTTACGAGTGTGGGGCCTTCATGAATGGGTTAGTAGTTTTATAAAAGAGAATTCCCTCCTTCTGCTATGTGAAGACAAGCATTTGTGAACTGGATCCTTAGCAAATACTAAATACATTATATGTTGACTTTAGTCTTCCCAGCTTCCCAGAATGAGAAATAAATGTCTGTGTTTATAAGTAAAGCAGCTGATGGTAGTTTGTTGTAGAATCCTGGGTAGGTGAAGACCCAGACCATGCCTAGAGGCCAAGGAACTCTCAGACTCAGGAAACCAATTTCCTGGTCCCTCCTTTTCCCACTGACACATTGACCACTGTGTTTTTCCAAGGGCCTGAATTTTCAAAAACGTCCTTCTCTTACCTACTGAGGGTAGAAGATCATTGAGTTCAGCTGTGGGGATGTACAAGAACGCAGGTGAAGGGCCACTCACCATGCCGGGGGAGGGAGCTAGCTGCCCTTTCCCCTCCAGCAACTTCAGCTTTGATCCCACAGCGTTAACCTGGGATACAACTCCTTCCAGAACAGTCTCAAGCTGCAGAACTCTCCTTGTGAGCCTGTGCAGGACGTGAGAGAGACCAAGGGAGGAGCAGTATGAGTCCAGGTCTGAGGTATTTAAGGGCAGGGGTAACAAGGTGGTATGTGTTTGGATAGGAACTAGGAAGATAAGGCCCAGTCATTTAGGAAAAGTAGCAGGGGAGTGTAGGTTTTTCAAGGCTGGAACAGGGAGTTGGAAAGTTATGGAAAGAAACTCAAAATAGTGTATTACAATAATAGCAATCCTGGGCCACTGGGTGCACATACATGTAGAATTTTTCTTCTGAAATGCAGCCTTCTGCTCTGCTGGTCTCTGGACCTGGCTCGCCTGATGGGCTGCTCACAATGGACTGGCCCAAGTTCTCAATCTTGGCGCTGAGGGCCACCTATTGGGAAGTCAGAAAACAGAGGGGGAGAAAATGTTCCAAAACTTGCCCTAATAGACTCTCAGGACTAAGCGCTGGCTTCCAATTTTATAATCTGATGCCTCCTTATGCTTCAGCAAAGCCAATTCAACTGGTCTAGGTGGCCTAAGTAAGTGTGAGGCACTTTGAAGGTTCCCCAGGGTATTCCAACACATGGCAGTTTGAGGACCACTAATCTAGGGAACTTTCTTCTGTTCATCTGAGGAGGATATTCATTTTGATCTGTAATCTGAGGGTGTTGGTGGAGAGAAGTGGGTGAGCAATTTCCTTACTCTGCCTCCTGACCAGTCGGCTCAGCTCACCCTCTCCTCCTCCAGGTCCTGTCGCATCTGTTCCTGTTCCTTCTCATCCAGAACCCGATTGCCATCCTGGTCACACCTGGTGAAGGCAGTCGTGAGCTCAACAATCTCATGCTCTGTGTGCCCCAACCTGAGGAGAGCAGGACATGAAACGATGTGTGTCACCTCCTGGCTGTGTACTCACCACTCTTCTGCTAGACTGCGGCAAGAACTCTGCTCTTGGAGTCCTGGCTTCTCTGCTCTCTGGGAAAGAACGGAATCTCATGGGAAAGCCAGGATCTCCAAAGCGATTTGACCCCTTCCCCCTATATCTCAACTCTGTTTCTTCTCCTGACTCCTGCTGACTAGATTTAGAGGTTTGTAATCCTTTTTCCTCTGGTTTGCTTTTTATTGTTATTATTCTTTTTTCCATGATACAGTTTTTTAAGTACAGTGATTACCCCCCTTACTCTTCTGCCTTCTTTCCCATTTTCCCTTCCCACCATCCCCCCATATTACCTACAGACAGCCCCAGGGGGTGAGAATGGTTATTTAATATTGCTTTAGAGACCTTAATGTAGGGAAGAATGCTCTGAGGGTGCCGCTTGAGTGGTCTTGATAGTTCTGAGATGATGTTGGCTTCATTGCACCAGGGTTGAGAAAATCTTTCTGGGGTCTATTGTCTGACCAGGTCTACTTTGGTATACCCATAAACCTAGACATTTGCTGCAAAGCCTGGGCAGGAGAGGATTCAACCTATTCTCCATCTTTCCATCTTTTGAAGAGGTACTTCCTGTCCTCTGTTGGCCTAGATGAGCTGTCGTGTCTTTCTATTGCATACGTGTCAACATCTGAGGAGGCTCATTCCTGACACATGTACTCCAAGGTTGGACCACATATTCTGTGAATTTTCCCTGAGGCTGGGGTTTGAGTCCAGTGGTCCAGTTGGGATGTACCCTAGGAAACTTTACTTGGGGTGAGAAATCATGATCTTTTATGAGATAACTGCAGAATATTTTTGCCTCTAAATAACCTGCCTCCTCCCATTTCTTCTTCACTGCCTATTAAAATCCTTCTTCCATAATATGGCTAGACAAGTAAATCTTCCTAAAATGCATTTCTAAATGTTCCTTGAAATTTCTCCCAGGTACCCCATCTTTGGCTAAAGTGGTGGTGTGACCCTTGCCTATTTATCTGGCCTCTCTCCTGTTAGGTACCTTTTATCTGGTACCTTAACAATGTTCAATCACTTATTATTCCAGTATGTGTACACATGCTCCTTAGTGTTGGGCTTTTTGCTTCTGTATGTAATTTTACTTCTTCTTGAGTGGTCTTCTACTGCTTGTCCATTTGCAAGCTATTCATGCTCCTAAACCTTTTTTAGACAGCATTTCATCCAGAAAACCTTCATGTAATATCAAAAATGGAACTGGTCTCTGTCTTTACTCAATTCCCTTTTTAGTAATCTCTGTTGTTTTATTACTTACATGGTGTTATTTCTTTGCTTACATGTTTATGAGCAACTAGAGGACAAATAGTTTGCCTCACTTAATTATGTTGTCCCCTGCTCATTACCTAGGCAAGAGCTAGGGCTTAAAACAAGTTTTTGTTTTCATAGTCTTTTACTATTTTTGATAGGGGAGCATAGACAAAGCAGCTAGAGAAATAGACCAGTGTTTGTGGGGGAACATAAAACACATATCAGAGCTTGGTAGTCATCACATATATAAATAAATATATGAATTATTAATCTGAGAAGTTTTTCAACCAGGTCTAAAATGATGGACTATGGTCTGAGTGATTAAAGGAATGATTCTGAAGGCCAAGGTGAGAGACCTTCAAGGCAAGATCCAAGGCTTAAAACAAAGACCAAAAGCTTAGAAGCAAAATATATACAGTTTAGGTTTAAAGACTTAGGGAGCAACATAGATAAAGTATTGGTCACTCACTCCCGCAAGGTATTAGTAAAATCCTCAAACTGGATTCCCTGCTCGCCATCCAAAACCTTTTGCACATCAGAAACCTGCTCCTTCCTCAGACGCAGCCTCAGTAGGGTCTTGTTATAGCTCTGCAAAGCAAAGAAAACAGGTAGCAGTCCTCACAGTATCATCATCATTCCTGGTCCCATTTTCCTCTACATCATTCCAGGTTCCCAGGGATAGCAAAGGCACACAAGGGTATAGGGCCATTTACCAGTCAGGAACAGACCAGAAAACAGAACTTTGAACCCAGACCCTGATGTGGATGTGCAGCTGGAAAAGCCTGAGTCTGAACTCACCTGTTTCAGGAGGTCAGAAAGCTGCAGCTCGTCCTTCTGTCCAGCTAACTCCTCCTTGACCTCGGAGTACGTGTCATTAATGATAGCCAGGAACATGTTCTGGAGGATAAGGGAAGAGACCTGGGTCCTAACCACCAGACCCACTAAAAGCATTGAGCCCACTGACCCCACTAATGCCCAAGACATATATGCTAGAAGAGCCAATGCTCTTAACCTCAGCTCAGTTTACCCACCTATACCTCCCATGTCCTTGGAGTTCATCCTTTCAGCACAATTCTGCCATGCTTCTATGTCAATCTGGGCCCTCACTCCCAGTTGCTGCGATAACCTTTATGGCCATGAAGATACTCAACAGATACCACAGACCTCCATCTAGTGATCTGCCCATCACTGAAGCCAGAAACTTCTTAAGGTGAATGCACAATTGTGGTCTCTCTACCACCATTCACATTTGTCTCCTCAACCATTGATCAAGTAAGGAAATGTGCTGGTCTCATCAATAAAAACCACACCCAGACCTTCCATTGTAGGCAAGGAGAGAGAACAATTGCCAGGTGGTGGTAGGACAAATCACCAAGAGATCCTCAGAGGAAGGAACCCCTAGGTCTATAATCCAATCTGGGAGAGAGCAACTTCCTTCATGAGGCACGTTGCTATCCTCTCACATCCTCTGAGAATGGGGATTTGATCTTACTAGAGGCATCTGCAGGTAACCTCATGTGCTGGAAGCTGCCTGACCATACTGGCCACGCTGACCATATCAGCCAGCTCTCAGAAGATCCAGACATCCTCCTCTCACTCTCCATCCTCAGTTTGAAAAACTCATCCTATGCCTGAGTGGGAGACATAGAGAGCCTGTAGGCTGGAGTTTTCAACTATGTCTCCACCCTTCAGAGACTCTTACCAGAAGCACAAAGAAGACGAAGAAGACATAGGTGACGAAGTAGACAGGGCCCAGGATGCGGTTGGCATTGTCAATAGCATTGTAGTCAAAGTCCCCAAGGATGATCCGAAACTGAGTGAAACTGACAGACAAGGTCAAGGCTTCACCAAAGTCTAAATTATCCAAATCCACACCCATACCCCACTTTCCTAACTACAGATCCCAGCCCCTACGTCTATAATCCAATCTGGGAGAGAGCGTGTGCGCATCAGGGCTCCCCAAAATTCATACAGCCATTTTAAGCACAGGCCCATCTATACACATCCTGCCATTTTCCCAAGTGACACACAGACCCAGGGAACTGGGAGTGAGGGGCAAGGGAAGAATAGAGGGCAGGGAGGAGTGAGGGGGTAGAACACATACATGCACTTTATGAAAGTGCTAAAGTTTTCCACTTGGGTTCCGAAAAGCAGGTAGCCAAGTTGGGCGTAGGCAAAAAACACGATGAAGAACATGACAGCAAAGCCCAGGATGTCCTTGGCACAGCGGGCCAGGGTGGAGGAGAGCTGAGTCATGGTTTTGTTGAAGCTGATGTACTTGAATATCTGCAAGAGCCATGTGGAACCAAGTGGAGAAGGAATAAAAGAGAAAAGCACTGAACAGCTTACTCCAGGGACCTATGGAGGCCACAGGAGGCAGCAAAACAAACAAGAAAAATGAGACATGCACTGGGGAAAGGAGAATCCATTCCCTGAGGCAGACACAGGGGTGGCTGTCCCAAGTACCTTGATCCAGGCAAAGAAGAGGTTGACAGCATTCATGTTGTTGTACTGTGTCTGCCAGAAGGCAAGGAACTCAAAGTCAGCATATGCATCTGGCTGCTGCAGGAGCTTGCCCATCAGCCGACTGACCTCCAGGGTTCGGAATATGTGGAAGCCCACGGCCACAATGGAGAGCTGTCACACGGAGAACATGGGGTGTCAGAAAAGTCAAGGGGTTCTCAAGTGGTGCTCAACAATGAGGGTTCAAGGAAGAGCTTGGACAGGCAAGTCGGGTGGGAAAGAAACTTCCTGTCCTGCTAATGTGTTCACTAGCTTAGATGCGAATAGACCAGCATGATGGGGAACAGCTTCAGTGTTCTAAAGCCCAAGAGAAGGATCAGGGACTAAAGGATGTAAAGGTCACAGGAACCTGGAGCCAAGAGATCTTACTCCTCCTACCCCTACCAGCCTTGGTCCTGCTGATAAGATGCAGATGGAGATGAAGGATCAGAACACTTGAATAGGAGGGGACAGAAAAAGGAGGAGTTTCAAGGGGACAGCGATGGGTTATACAGGCAAAAGTCAGAAAGGCAATAGAGTATCAAGTACTGAAGAAAAAGCACAGGGCCTAGATCACAGGTGAGGAGGAGAGATGTGGGATTTGGGGCTTCCTAGGTGCTGAACAAGAGGGCCTCTGTCTTTCACTTTGGGAGCTGCTGCAAGTGATTAGGTTTTCAGGACTGAAAGGAAGAACGTGGAGTGGTGGCCAAGATGCATCCCCTCCATCTCAGTCTCTCACCAATATGATCACGAGATCCAGGATGTTCCAGATGCTGTGGAGGTAGTGCAGCCGGTGGATATGGATCTCCAGCAGTTCCTCAATCACATAGTAGATGATGAAGATGCAGAAGATGACCTCACAGCCAACAATGAAGAAGTCCCAGTTGCTGACGTAGCGGGTCAGCTTAACCGTGCGGATTTGCCAGGATGGAATGGCACCTCCTGTGGCTGGAAACTCCACCACCAGCCTGGTGGGGAGGGGGTGTTTAGGGGAGCCTAAGTTGGTAGAGAGTTCCTTGAATTCCTCTCCTCCCCCTCCCACCATAGAGCACAAGTTTGGGGAAGGGCATTGGAGAAAAGAACCAGGAACCATGCATGGAGAGATGCAGTAGGGAAAGGGGCCACCTCAGAACACAGAAGAGATTGATGTTGGCATTGTAGACCGAGAAGTCGATGAAGACCACCCGAGTGCCCCTGTCCAGCCACAGCCCTTCCTGAAGGTCACGGAGTACGTCTGCACTGGCCTGTTGGGATCCTGGAAGGTCCAAGTAGTAGCCGCCTCCACTGTAGCTTGTGAGTCTGCCCCAGTGGGAGGAGCCCCCCAGCTCATCCTGAGAGTGATATGTCCACCTGCCGCAAAAGAGGCTGGCTGAGTGGAGAAAGGCCCAAGGCTAAGGGCCCAGCTCCCACAGCAATAGCAAGGTTTTGTGGTTGTCTGGGCTTCACAGTTTCACATCAATCATGCATGTAGTTTACACTATATCTGTGCTCATGTTTATGTATGTCTGTTTGACATATACATAGTGTACAGTATGTGGATACTTCAAAAAGTTTATGGATATTGCAATTAAAGGATGGATTTTTAAAAATACACACTTTCCATGATATTTTTAAAAATTCGACAAGAGGGCCCAATACAATGCAGTGGCTAAATCCTCACCTTGTAAGTGTTGGGACCACAAATGGGCACCGGTTCATGTCTCGGCTATTCTACTTCCCACCCAGCTCCCTGCTTCTGGCCTGGGAAAGCTTTAGGAGGATGGCCCAAAGCCTTGGGACCCTGTACCCACTTGGGAGATCTGGAAGAAACTCCTGGCTCCTGGCTTAAGATCAGCTCAGCTCCAGCCATTGTAGTCAATTAAGGGAGTGAGCCAGCAGATGGAAGATCTTTCTGTCTTTCCTTCTATCAATCTTATCTGCTTTTCCAATAAAAATAAAATTTTAAAAATTTGACAGAGTCAGAAGAGAGTGACAGACACAAAGAAAATTCCCATATATTGGCTTACTTCCCATGTGCCAGCAGTGGGACTTTGGGTTATCCAGGCTGAAGCTGGGAGCTAATAACTCACCCAGGTATCCCACATGGGCTGCAGGGACCCAATCACGTGAGCCATCATCTGCTGTCTCCCAAGGTACACATTACAAGGAAACTGGGATCAGGAGTGGATCTAGGACTCTAAGCAGGCACTCTGATAAGAGATGCAGGTGTCTTCACTGCTGTACCAAATGCCTGTTTCTTCCTGAACTTTTCCAATACTTCTTATGTGCATGGATTTCAAAATGTCCTGCACCCAAGTAAACATTCTTGCAATTGCATTTTATAGAAATATGTCTCTAAAATATGCAGAATATATAATATATGCAAATATATGTATGTATACATATTAGATATGAGGAGGGTTTACAAGTTCACAAATATTATTCTATTTGACATTGACAGCTGTTTGAGAAGGAAGGACAAATATCTTACAGAAGAGTCAGAGATTTCCAAGATAATCCCAACTCTCTAGTGGCAGAAAGGAAATACACATTACTCTCCCAGCACTTCACTATGTCAGTTATGGCCATCGATGACAAAGCCACGCCCTTTCTGATCCCAGCCTGAGGGGTCTCCCTAAGGAAAGCTCCTTGAGCATACAGTGTACAAAGATCTTTCCAACTCTTTGCTTGGGAAGCTGACTGTTTAACACCAGACTTTCCACCATAGGTCCTTACTTCCTCCCACTTTTTTTTTCTGTCTACCCGCTTCTCTTTGTCCCCTTACTCATCTTCCATATTTGACCCCTTGCTGTCACCCCATCACTCAAGGGTGGGAAGCTCTGACTGTGACTCTTGTGGTGGCCTCAACCCTACTCACTCTTGACACTCCCAAGGGAGTTCTGGGCAAAGACATTTTCCCTGGAAGCACTTCCTGCAGAGTAGCACAAGTGTAACTATGACCTGGGTGTGGGAAGAAGTCCAGAGGGAATGAATGGCTATGTCTGCTAAATGCCTCTTTTATTCCCAGACCAAGTCCCAAAAATTGGGACTTAGAAAGATGCCTCCTAGTCACTTGGAACATCTCAATGTTCTTTATGACTCAATGCAAGTGGTTCTACACCTTGGGAAGACATCAGGCTCAGAGATTGTTGATGGGGGCTCACTCACGCTGTGCCATTGAGGGATCCAAAGGGGCGTTGCTCTTCTTTGTCAGCTGAGTACACATCATAGCAGTTCAAAATATCCTCACGGAAGTCTTCGTGCACCACACAGGAGTCGTTGCGAACCCGCAGCTGCCGCAGTCTTGGAACCCCCAGCAGCATGTTCTCATAGTAGATGAAGGAGTGGGAGCCATAGCCCAAGCTCTTATTGTTGTACCATTTGGTCCAGTATAAACCATCCAGCAGAGGACCCTGGGCAAACTGTACCATGAGTTTGGTTGGGAGCAGTTCTATCTCATCCTGACTCCTAGTCTCAGAATGACCTTCACCCTCAATCCCTGACTCCCACCACACCCTAACTTGGATAAGTCTCCTAGGCTGGAACTCCTCAGTTGTTCTAGATACCTTGGCCAGTTTCTGATCTGACCCTATTAAAAATACGTTTTGAAGGTCAGGCTTACCTTTGATTCCCACACTCATCTTACCCCTGGTTTGATTCTTTGGTCAGCATCCCCATTTCACCCTGTTCCATCTGGATTCCAGTTCAACCCAATAATTCAGCCTGATTCTTGGACTGACCTCATTCCTGGCTGATGTGATCATATTCTAACATGTAGTCTGACCCACTGTCTGGCCTCTCTGAACTCTGGCCTGTGATGATTAGCCACTGAATGAGAGAGGAGAACAGAAAGATGAGATCCCATACTCACATCCCAGAAGTCTGCCATGCTGCTGATGGCCTGGAAGGAGATTCCAGTGTCTGATGGGGCATGTAAGAAGAGCTCTGACATCACCTTGGTGTAGTAGTAGGCACTGGAGCTCATCATCCCGTAGGTCACTGGAAAACAAGCCAAGAAGCTGTGTCCTCACTCTTCCCTAGTCCGTTCTTCAGAGGGGACAGGAAAGCCCCTGGCCTGGGTAGAGATGCTACCCAGATGGCAGGGGACAGGCATCAGACCCACCTCTAAAGTTAGCTGATGGTGGCATTGGGGAAACCAGGGAATACACTAGGGATGGCACCGGGTCTCCTGCTCTCCCCCAAGCTTACAGCTGAAAGTCTACTCAATCATCATGGATTACTTCAGCTTGATTATTACTAACATGAGAACCACACGGTGATTTTTCAAACTGCCTCATTCCCTCTGCAGTGATTGGCAGGCACTGGTTTCTGAAAGAGCTTCCTTTCTTCCCTTTCATGAATCAGTCTGAACTCAAGGATTCTTGAGATTCCACCCCCCCCATGGATTATAATTTCTTGTTATTTATTTTGGTACTAAATTTTCTGACCAAGTCATGACAGACAAAGAAAGGCTAACAAATTGTTTTTTAAACTGAAGAAATATATAAACTAAATGTAACATGTGATCCTGGGTTGTTTTTTTCCTTTACTATAAATGCAATTATTACGATAATTGGTGAAATGATAAGATCTGTTCATTAGATGATACTACTAGATCAGGGTAATTTCCTGGCTTTGTTTTTAGAAAACGCATGTGATGGTATTAAAGAATAGCAGGGGATTATGGCTGCAGCTTACTTTCATGTATGTCTGTCACGTGTAGAGTAAGACAGAGAAGGAGGTTTATAAAGGGAAGGCATAATGATAGAATGTTTCTATTCGGGAAATCTGAGCAGAATGCATGAAGTAAATACAGGAGCTTTTGAACTCTTGCAATTTTCCTGTAAATCTGCAGGTACATAAACATCTTGGAAAAAAATTAAATTTGCCAGGCTCTTATGAGCAATTTCTTTCAGAATCTTCATTTTCAGATCTTGGATCATATTTTTTCATGATGCTCCATCTGGAATTGGAAGGACTTAGAGTGCACTGGAAGAAATGGGGTGCCAGTGAGTGATCCCAGATTGATCCCAGCATCATTCATTTCCAGGTTGGTAGCATCAGTAAGGAAGGAGGCTGATTCCCATTTCCCATTCCACTCTAGAAAATCTGACAGGGCTTACCCTGTCTAACCCAGATCTGTGATTATCTGTCCTGAGTAGCAGGAGAAGACCTCAGAAACAACTTTCTGTATCCGCAAAATGAGTTCCTGTGGGAAATCAAACTTGAAATTGTTGGGAACCCCTCATGCAGTTCTAACCAAGACCAGGGAGTGGAGCTTTTCCTGCTAACAAAGGCTGTTATTACAGCTCCAGAAGGGCCACAAGGTGGTGCCATTGCTTTTGCACCACCACTTTTTCTCTCTTCCAGTTGGAAATGACTCTCCAAAATGAATAATCTTCTGAAGTGCTTGCCAATCACTTACAGGTTATCACTTGATTATTCTCCAAGACAGGAAAGACTGTAACTTAAAAGAAGAATGGTTTAACTTTTTAAGTGAAAGCCAAGAAGCAACCTTTAAAATCTTTTAAATTGTGGTCTAGGGCCCGAGACAGCATGGTGGCCTAGTGGCTAAAGTCCTCGCCTTGAATGTCCGGGATCCCATGTGGGCGCCGGTTCTAATCCCGGCAGCTCCACTCCCCATCCAGCTCCCTGCTTGTGGCCTGGGAAAGCAGTAAAGGATGGCTCATGCTTTGGGACCCTGCACCTGCATGTAGGAGACCTGGAGGAAGTTCCTGGATCCTAGCTTCAGATTGGCACAGCACCAGCCACTGTGCTCACTTGGGGAGTGAATCATCGGACAGAAGACCATCCTCTCTATCTCTCATCCTTTCTGTGTATCTGACTGTGTAATAAAAATAAATAAATCTTTAAAAAAAATCGGGGTCTAAACCTGGTTTAGTATTTACACAACACAGCCTCTCCATCCAAACATCATCTCTTCCTTCTTAATTCTTATTTGTACAAATTTTGTGCTTCATACAAAGTTAAAATTAAGATATTCAGAAGTAATTTGGCATAACGTCTGCAATTTACTGGGCTTGCTTGTTAGGCCAGCCACACATTGGCTGCACTTCTCCTACCCAAGACTTGCATGAACTGATTGTTCCTTTTGAAGTAGGGAATATTTCAGTTTTGTTCCAACATTTATTAAGTAGACATACAGAAGTTATCTTAGACTGTGTTGATAAAATCTCTGTTATGGGTCAGTCTGAAACTGGTTGACTTCTTGCTATTCTGTATTATAGTTCCACTACTTTTAAAATTTTTCTACTGTTGACTCAACCCAACACTTACTGAGAACCTATTAAATACAAGGCGCTATGCTAAACAAATAAAACACTTTGTAACCCTGTGAAACACACAATATTCCTTGTTAAGTAGCATATATATTCCATACACTATATTCCATACTTAAAAGTTGAGAAAGCAAGACACTGATCAGTTTGGGGGAATGCAGGAAGCAAGAGAGGGAGAGGGAGAATGATAAGGAAGTAAGAGGTTCTTCCCTTCATTACTCTCTGAAACCCAAATGATTTCTGGTAACCCAGCTTTTATATTTATTGGGCTACCAACCAGAAGCATTGAAAAGATAAAAATTGTAAAGATAATAATTCTTCAAAGTCTACCTTAATAACAACAAAAAGATCTGTTTTATTTATTTATTTGAAAGCCAGAGTTACAGAGAGAGAGGCAGAGGCAGAGAGGGGGAAATGGCCAGAGCAGCTGCTCATTGTCTCTAAACACTGCGCCAAATGCCAAGTATGCCCTGTGCCAAGGGCTTGACAAGCCTGTTTCAGGTAATCCTACCATGGCCCTATGTGGTAACTGTTGTAACTGTGTCCATTTTCCAGTCTCAGAGAGTTGAAGTAACTTATCCAAGGTAAACAACAAATGGAATCAAGATTCAAATGCAAATCTGCCTGCACAGTAGACTGATTCTGTACTGCTCTAAAGAAGAACTGCATTCAGGGATGAGAAGGCACAGGGTGGCAAACTGAAGCTCCATAAAAGGCAGCCTTTTCTAACCACTAGAACTTTCCATTGTGAAATGGACCATTCCACAAACATCCACTTCACCCCATGGAAGAGTCAGAGAGAGGGTAAAACAGAGATCTTCCATCTACTGGTTTATTTCCCAAAAGGCCACAATGGCCACACAGGGATAGGACAAAACCAGAGCTACATTCAGGTCCTCTACATAGGTACAGGGTCCCAAACACTTGGGTCATCTTCTGCTTTCCCCGGGCCATTAGCATGGAGTTGGATCAGAAGTGGAACAGCTGGGACTTGAACCAGCGTTCACTTAGGATGCCAGCATCATAGGCAGTGGCTTTACCTGCTATGCCACCATGTTAGCCCCAAGACTGGTGTCTTAAAAAGATGCCATATCCACCGGTTGAAGTCCTGGTTGCTCCATTTCCTGATCCAGTTCTCTGCTTGTGGCCTGGAAAAGCAGTGGAGGATGCCCCAAGGCTTTGGGCCCCTACATCTGCATGGGAGATCTGGAAAAACCTCCTGGATCCTGGCTTCAGAATAGCTCAGCTCTGACCATTGTGGCCATTTGGGGAGTGAACCATGGATGGAAGACCTCTCTCTGCATCTCTCCTTTCTATAAAATCTATCAAACAAAAGTAACAAACAAATCTTACATAAAATGATGCCTATCAACATTAGTTAAAACATTCTTATGTTAAAGGGAGCTTACTGACACATCAACTGATGATAATAGTTGAGAAATGTGCCAATCATTAATTCTTTAAGGGTCTCCAAGCTTTATTTCTCCATAAATACAGAGCTCTTGAAAAACTTAAAGAAATAGCAAATTTGGAAACAATGAGTTTACCCACTTTTCCCTTAATCTTGATCCTTCCCGCCTTGATCAATCATGTAATCATTGTAAAAAAAAAAATTATAAAAAAAACTTTAAAGAAGCATCTGCACACCCACACTGGTATATGCATCTATTATGTATCTCTCTTCCTATATTACATATGTTATATAACAAATAGTAAATACATATATAATTTTAGGGTTAGGAAGATACACATTTTTCATGATTATTTAATAAGGATTAAAGGAAGCAAACATAAGAGATAGTCCAACGGAAAGTACCTTCAATTCTCTTAAAGATTTATTTATATTTACTTGAAAGGGCACAGCTAATGAGATAAGAAGAGACACACGGATCTTCCATCCACTGGTTCACTCCCCAAAGCAGCAAAGGCTGAAGCTAGGTTTTTTCCTTCACTGTGGCAGCCAGGAACCTCAGACTTGGCTCTCATTTGCAGGAATGGTTTCTCTTAAGTCTTCTCATACATGTTATCTCCCTCCCATATCTTTTCCCAGTATATTTGCTAAGTCTTTTCATTATATTTCAAATGGACTATAGTTTATTATATTTGTGCTTTTTCTCATGTAAGCTGGCTCAGATCCCTTTTAGATAAAGGTAGGATATGAATATAGTTATTAGAGAGGTCTGACATAATAATAATTATTATTAGTCATCATGAGCTTGGGCAATAACCTGATTTTATCTGTTTCTATGTTTACAGTACAGACAGAATGTTCTTGCCCTGTCTTTTGAATTGCTGGCAGACTTTCCCAGTTCAGTGCAATAATAAGACGTCAGCAGTTGATGTGTTCTTTTTAGGTGAAAGTCCTTTAGGTCAGCACATGCTACCAAGCTCCTCCTTGGCTTCTAAATACCATTTTTAAATGGCTGCTCTTTGTTGTCAAGCAGTCTCCTGGGGCAGGAACACAATTCCCTCCCTCCACTAACTGGTAAAGAACTTGGAGAGACGGGATGCAGCCTCAGCAGAGTCACAGCAGGTGGAGAGCGGTGAGCCAGGAGTTGGGGCTACAGAGAACATGGTGGAAATCTAACATAAGAACCCAGACTTGGGGGCCCAGCGGCGCGGCGTGGCTTAGTGGCTAAAGTCCTCGCCTTGAACGCGCCAAGATCCCATATGGGCGCTGATTCTAATCCCAGAAGCTCT